CAAAATGTCGAATTTTACAGCTGGAAACGACACATCAAGATCAACACTACTGTGGATGCTGATGTTTATTATTGGTACTCCCGGAGTACAACAAAAAATACATCAAGAAATCGACAAAGTCGTCGGTAAGTCCGAAAGCTGTCTGTCTGGAGGTCTACACAACTTACATGGGGAAACCTGAAACATGCAAAGATTTGGCTCAAAGGGACATGTCCACCATCTGTTTGACCAATCGTATCTTAGTCTCAATAAAAGGAGATGGTTATATTGAAGTCGAATTAATAGTTGTTTTTTTTTAATGAGAAATAAAATTTGGATTCTCCAGGAAATCTTACTCGCCCCCCCCCTCTCTTTTCCAACCTATTTTCCCATTGCCCTCCCATATATATTATATATATAAGATATATTACTTAATAATAATAATGAGATTGTATTTTTGTTATTTTACCAGGTCATGACAGATATCCAACTACTCAGGACCGTAGTAACCTCCCTTATTTAGATGCTGTGTTACATGAATCTATGAGGTTGGGACCAGTTGTACCTCTAGGTGTTCCTCATTCTACTTCTTGTGACACTACAATAGGTAGATATAGCTTATTACAGCACGATACAAACATTCTGGCTGTCAAATAAAGCATTTCCAGCCTGAATAATGAGTAAAAGTATCTGTGTCTATTTTTTGACCCAAATGTCCCAAAAGCTAAATAGATGAAAATAAAAATTACTGTAACTAAATTTATTTAAATTTATCGAGCTTAGATACGCAATTCGCGCGAAGAAGAGATATCAATTTATTGCCATATTGATGAAAGTTACAGCGACAACAAAGCAAGTCTTCTTCTGGCCAAAGTTCTTGATGTCCTAAACCTGGACATGAAGAAATAATATTTGGGTCATATACTTGCAAACAGTTATACTTGAACCATTAGATAGTTTGGATTTGGAATAAAAGTTTTACAGTTTTTTCAAGAACTGCTGATTTGGCCGTGTTCATCAAATTTAGTCAAGAAAATCATGTAAGGAAAGATGATATCACAAAGACAATGGAGAAATAGCATTTATATTTTTGTAGGTAAATATGATGTACCAAAGGGAACATTTATCTTTATCAATCATTATGCCCTTCATTTGAATCCTGACCATTGGCCAGAAGTAAATAAATTCAAACCAGAAAGATATTTGGACGATGATGGAAAAATGGCACCAAAGCCGGACTACTGGCTACCATTCAGTGCTGGTAGACGAGTTTGTGTTGGAGAACCAATGGCTAAGTCTGAGTTGCATTTAGTTATGGCAGGATTGTTTCAACAGTTAGAAATCTACCAAGAATCAGGCACAACTATTGATACATCATATCGTTCGAAAGCATTTGTTATCACTCCAAAACCATTTAAAATTGTTGTTAAGAAACGAGAATGAAATATGATTTGGTGAACAAATAATACTCGAATGATCAATAATAACTATTTAAAAATGTAATTTTAATGGACCAAGGGTATTTTTTGGCATGTCTTCAGTCGTATAGTAGAGAAATTGTGTAATATCATAAAAAATGATCCATATTGTCATGTATTTTAAATAAAATATATTGGAATTTATTTTGAGTTATTTCTCTAATTCTTTGAAAACCGTTACATTATTAGCTAGTCTAGTCGTGCAATTCCAGTCGAATATAATATTCAATACATGTACATCACATAGAAAATTCTCATAATTATGTAAGGGAGAGGCAACTAATTGGTCACATGGAATGTTGGTCAAAGTAAATTTGTGTTAAACGAATTGGTCACAGTAAGTTGATCATATCAAATAGGTCACAGTAACAAAGTAAAGTATTGTTATTTAATTTTGGACAATATTACAATGTAAAACATTTATTTCAAATAATTTTTACCTTTTCCATTATATTAACACGAACCTTCAATATATACATTTTTCAGATCTGTTACTTTGTATATTTTCTTCGTCAATTTATTATTATTTGTTATTTGGTCTCTTCAGATTTTAAAACGGTGTCGTTTTCTTTTGAACAAACATCTGTTTTCTTCGGGACGTCATAGGTTCCTATCCAGTGGAACATTTTCGGAGGAATTGAAGTAACACCTGTTCTTGCAGATGTATCATTTTTTGGATTATCCGATTGTAGTTCTAGAGCAACACAAGGATTCTCTTGCGGTGCGTTTTTTTCGTCGTTATGATCGTCTGGTTGCTGTTTTTCTGTTTCAACCACTGCCGCTTCGATCCCATCAAGACCGACTGCACTTTGTGCATCATTTCCTTGGATAGAAATATTCTTTGAGAGATTTGATGATAACTTGGTATGCTTGGTTTGACTGTCTCGTTGTTTTGGTGGAGAAGGTTTGAAACATCGCAGGATTACCATTACTCGGTCTCGGAAACTTTTGCTGCACAAAACGTATAGAAAGAAGTTGATGGAGTAGTTCAGCTGCTCGAGGATTTGTGAAATTTCACGGTATATTGCTAAACCAGTATGCTTGGTTTCGAAAATACTTTCGTCGTGGCTAAAGGAGATCATATGTCCAATAGAAATGGGAGTTATGAGAAACATGTAAGCTAATGATACACCGAGTAACATGACAGTGGTTCTTTTCACCTCCTCTGACATCTTTGAACTTGACGCACCGAGAGCATTTTTATTTTGGATTCTTTTCCAAAGATGAAAGCATATAATAGGCGTCAGAATCAACATGAAACTAACAGGAATTATGGAATAAACAAGAGTTCCAATGATGATAAATATTTCAGATAATTGTGCAGGCTCTGGATAATGGGGCACACATTTACCGTTGACAATTCTTGAAGCAAAGGTCCAAACACCGTTGTATGTAATTAAAGCTCCATAAATAACAGAAATAGATATGTAAACATTTTTCCTTGTACAAACAAATTTAGCTTTAAGAGGAAAAACAACAGCGATAAATCTCTCCATGGAGAGTAAAACTACTAACCACGATGAAGACATCTTTGCTGTTCGGAAAAACAAAAAGAAAAATTTACAACCGATGAGACTTTGAGATCTGATATCGATCCCAATCAAGTTTCGGACAAATAATTTGTTATGAGGGTGTAAACAGATCAAAATAGTATCAGAAATGGAAAGTGCCAGTAATACTATGCTGACAGACATTTTACGAAAATGCCTAGAGCACATAACAACGATAGTTAAAGTGTTCCCCAGAAGGCCCAAAACCAGAAATGATGGAACGACAACATAGCCGACATAATCTACATTGGTTGACGCGGGGCTTGGATGAGATTCGGTGTTGTTCGTTGGACACTCTATACTCGTGTCGTTGGTTCCATTAAGGCATCCTTTCACGTTTTCTTCTCCATTTGCTAAGGGGGTTGACGTGGAGTTTTCAGCAAGCAATACATCATTACAGGTTACACAACTACACAGGACCAACGCACCAATAATGAAACCAAATTTTAACCTATAAACAATTAAATACGAAATAAAAAAAAATCATCAATATTCAACAAATATATTCAGTATCAGTAATATCATAGAAGTTTAAAGGTCTCAAGGTTCTGAAAATGTAATGTTTTGGATTAAGTGTTGTTATATTTTTATTTGGAGCATAATGTATTGTTCTGAAACCATCGCGTCCAATTCCACAGCTTTTTAATACCGAAAACACGAGAACAAATAAAATACTGGTAGTGTTAAAAACGTGGACATCTATTTCGACTTGAAGCAAGAGATCAGAATGATGATCTTAGCCTACTTTAATCTTCAGAGCTCGTTTATTTTCAAAAGAATTAGAATATCAACTTGAAAACGGTACAGATCGTCTATCAAGAACTTTGCGGTTATAAAAGAAATAAATGTAAACACACATTATCCTATTAAATTTGTTTTTACAGAGAACAATTTTTAGTCAAAATTTGGAACATTTTCAGTTGAAATGCAAATGAACGAAGTGTGTTTCTATTCAATCAATATTTACTTGCAAATATATAATTTAATTAACGCAAAATCAATACAGATTTAAGCTGAAACCAATTTAAATGCCGAAGTAAGCCCTGACACAGTCAGTAAAAGGAACTATCCTAAAACAGGTTCTTTCTTTTTATTTTTTTTATCTGAGCTTTAACCTCTTAAATAACAACAGAATTTGTAAATACTTTGACAGTCAGTTTTAGATAAAGAATTATAATAGAGTAAAATTAACATAATTTTAAGAGATTTGACTGCAATTATATCTTTAAAAATTAATTCGGAAAGAACGTGATGTGTGATTTTCATTCTGAAATGCTCTATTTACTAAAAATATTAAAATAGTAAATAATAAATTCATTAAACAGCATACAATTTCAACTTTCACAGAGCGAGATTCTGATGAATATATTTTTTACAAAACCATTTACTTACTTTTGCCATGGGAGAGATCTTTCCATGATGATTTGGATGATTTTAATCAAATATGGTCAGTTTTATTTCCCTGTAGATAGTCTTCCAAGCAGAATGGGAAAATTTCCAGCCGCTTTTAGATTTTCTTCCAGTTTGTCAATGATTGACAAACTTAAAGGCTTATAGACCAAGTCCAAAATAAGAACCGAATTTATATCAAATATAAAATAACCCAATTTTCACCTTTCATTCTTTCGGAGATCTAATATCTAATATTCTAAATTAGGACACGTGTCTAGAATATTAATATATTTTTTCAATCTGCGTAACTGCTAAATACTATTGTTCAGTTAAATAGCCTAAAACAATAAGGTTTGTAAAAGAGTGTTAACAAGATAGTAATATCCATGTCAATAATGTTCTTAATAATATCTGATATGAATCCTTAAATCGAACCTGCAATAAATAAATAAATATAGTTTGATGAAACCGGCCTTGGGCACATTTTTTATTGACAAAATTCAAAATGGCTGCCATCCTCGTTAATCTGAGTACTATGTCTGTCATAACTTTGCTTCAAGAAAGGTCAAAAAGCATGGACATTTATGATATTGGTTAAAACTCTTAATTATGCGCAATATGAACATAAAGTGATATGATTAAGAATACATAATAATCAAATAGTTTGCCCATCATTCAATGATTGTACTTGTTGGTAGTTTGATGTAATCTGATTGAGATAACCCAATAAGAATTAAAACGCCCACTGGCAGCTTTGATTCTGAACAAAAATAATCACCAGTATAAAATATTTCAACCTTCCGTAATACACTTTTTGGGTGATACTGAACAATATATTACCAAGTTGTCAAAATCCAGCAAGAATTGTGTCTCTTAATGTTTACGAGCTAAAAATTTAAAGCGTTTTCAAGAAAGAACTCAATAACTCCTATGAGATATTTATCAATAGGGTACATCTATGGGTAATAATGAACAATTTCACCATAATTTTCCAAATTTATAGGGAATTGAGCCATCAAGAGTGTTTAAAATTTAACGTATTTCCAAGAACAAGGACAATAACTCTTTTTCGATTTTCTGATAATCATTTGGGTTGATTCTTAGATGATTACAAACACTCATACCGAGTTTCGTCAAAATCTGTCTTGAAAATTAAAAAATGAACAAGGACGTACAAAAACATAAAATGAAATAATAAATTGAAAATAATAAAATAGTAAAAGGCTTCAGAATGTGGGTTTAACATTATACTTTTCTGTGGTGGATGATTCTATGAGCACGATGTGATGACACACTTAATAATTATACAGCTTAGCAGTCATGGCTTTCTTTTAATATTTCTTAAAAGTTTTATTTAAAGCAGATTTCACAGTTTAACATTCCAGGCTTTGATAACAAATTGCAATAGCCTATCATTGATAGTAGGTAAAACATTATAATGCAGTGTCACATAATTATGCATAAAATGACGGGGAAACTGGGGTCTATGCATAATTTCAGATTTGGCGCCATTGCCGGTTTTGTTTACACACAGCATAAAAGCATATAGAATTGCAATATAAATTATGAATCCTGTGATATTTCATATCATGCGAGGCATAAGCAGGCATAAGCTTACATTGTGGTTTGGCTGAACTTGAAAGTTTGGAGAAGTATAAGAGATATTTGAATTTTTTTTTGTCATTGCTGTGAAAAAATAATGATTATTTTTATTCTATTTAGATAGAAAAGTTCTACAGAATGATAACTCTTGACATTACTGAGCTAAGTTTCACACCACAAATACCAAGCATGTATAATGTGATAAAAATGGTAATAAATGAAACAAATCAACGATTAAAGAATAACTAAAGAATAGAGTCTATATAGACAACGCATGTTTAAATATCAGCCTACTTATTGTTTAACTTTGTCTGATGGGTTTATTACCATTAAGTAATGTTTGATGACTTTAGCATTTTATACATATTATTATAAACAAGTCTAGATACGGAGAATTCTTATAATCTTAAAGACAATGTTCCTGAAAATTCCAATGTTTCTGGCGGTCCGTTAATTGGTTGGATTTGTCGAATATGGGTGTCAGAAAGACAAGTAATCGCAATAGTAGGGGAAATTCATTTCAATAGAGATATTTATTTACAAATACACTTTATACATTTACATTTACATTCTTTTACTCTAATAAATTGACTTAATTAAGTCAAGAGACATTTATCATATTATATATCATTTATATTATTCACAATATAATACATGTCTCACTGTCAATGTTGTTTTCGGATAAATATTACTAGATAGTCAGTATATGACTAAAATGATATTGATCTTAAGATACATTGTCCTAATCCACTGTATCAGATATTTACAATTTATCAAATATAGACAATGTTTCCCATGTTTATATTTACAAGAATTACAGTCAAGTAACCTAATTTCGTGAAAACCTATTATTCGTGGATTTCCGGAAAGGATTAATATTTACATGAGCGACCTTGCGCGACCTCCGCATTAGTTTGTTTTGATAAAAATGGGTTTTCTCTACAATATCAGCTAGTAGAATGAATTCAGTAGTTTCAAGCAAAGTAAAATGTATTAATGTATACTTTGACAAATACAAAATGGCGGATTTCTATTATATCAAACGTTACCATTTTTTATCGGCCGAATTTCATTATAATCCCAAGCGGTAATCGGAATTGCAAGTGTCGTCTGCTAGAATATATTCCAACGAATGAAGCCACGTGATCAACTAGCGGATTCCGTGTCAGCAGAAATTTTCTATGAAAAACAAAGTGGACCATATTCTTATGTTGTTTCAGTGACTTTTAGCAATAAATCACGCTACGTATCTTATTTTGTCAGTCACTATTTTTTTTTTAAATCGTGGTTCTTTGAATGAATTGTCAGTAGTTATAATGAATTGATATTAAAGATAAATACTAAGAGAAGTTAATTATACCACCCGGTATCCATACAACGTTTATTTTTCTAGACTTATTTATAGATCAAACATTGTACGCAAAAATGGGTGACGCATTCTGCCGCCATTGCAGAGTTGGTTGCTCATGAAATATGGGTCAAAGTGAAGGCTTCATAAAGAAAATCGAAATAAACCAATTTTAATTATACAAGTAGAATATCTGAGGAAACATCTAAGACATAAAAATTTTTGTTTATTTTTTTAACTTTGATGAAATTCAGTGTTGAATCCTTATATCCACGAAAATAGGTTACACCACTGTATATAATGGAAATAACTGATATACATTAGCATGTTTTATAATTTGTTTAAATAAAAAACCAAAACTATAAATATCTGATTGGGGTGTAGAGAAACATCCTTCTCTTACTTCCGGTCGCATAGAATAGACACTCTCCTAGACTTCCCGAACAGCCTTCAAATCGCATACCTTTCCTGAATGTTGCCATGCCAAAATCAATAAATCGAATGTCCAAAGTATTTAAGTCAACTAAAATATTATCTGATTTTAAATCATTAAATAGAATATGATTACAATGACTTTTGAATAAACTTTTACAAATATTTTTACAAATAATAATCCAAGCATCTGGTGGCAAATCATATTCCAGATAAATATCTTCTACATTACCATGACCATTATATTCTTGAACTAGACTGTAATTTCTAGACGTTTTTATACGCCCACATGAAATAGGGGGCGTATATTGTCGTCACCCATGTCCGTCCGTCCGTCGAGCCGTCCACAATTGCTCGTAAACACTCTACAGGGCACAATTCTTGACGGATTTTGACGAAACTTAGTATGTGTGTTCGCAATCACCCAAGGATAAACCCTATTGAAAATCAGCGAAATCGAAAAATATTTAGCATGAATTATTGCCCTTGTTAATTTTTAGCTCGTAAACACTCTAGAAGGCACAATTCTTGACAGATTTTGACGAAACTTGGTATGTGTGTTTGTTATCACCCAAGGATAGACCCTATTGAAAATCAGCGAAATCGAAAAATATTAAGTATGAATTATTGCCCTTGTTCTTGAAAACGCGTTCAATTTTTAGCTCGTAAACACTCTAGAAGGCACAATTCTTGAAGGATTTTAACGAAACTTGGTATGAGTGTTCGTAATCACCCAAGGATAAACCCTATTGAAAATCAGCGAAATCTAAAAATATTTAGTATGAATTATTGCCCTTGTTCTTGAAAGCGCATTCAATTTTTAGCCCATAAACACTCTAGAAGGCACAATTCTTGAAGGATTTTAACGAAACTTGGTATTAGTGTTCGTAATCACCCAAGGATAAACCCTATTGAAAATCAGCGAAATCAAAAAATATTTAGTATGAATTATTGCCCTTGTCATTGAAAACGTGTTCAATTTTTAGCTCGTAAACACTCTACAGGGTACAATTCTTGATGGATTTTAACGAAACTTCGTATGAGTGTTTGTAATCACCCAAGGATAAACCCTATTGAAAATCAGCGAAATCGAAAAATATTTAGTATGAATTATTGCCTTTGTTCTTGCAAACCGTTCAATTTTTAGCTCGTAAACACTCTAGAAGGCACAATTCTTGACAGATTTTGACGAAACTTCGTATGAGTGTTTGTAATCACCCAAGGATAAACCCTATAGAAAAATCAGGGAAATCGAAAAATATGTAGTATGAATTATTGCCCTTGTTCTTGAAAACGCGTTCAATTTTTAGCTCGTAAACACTCCAGGAGGCACAATTCTTGACAGACTCTACAAGTCACAATTTTTTTGTTCATAATCACAATTTACAATAGATGTCATTATTTTCCTGAGTATATTTCATAGATTTGTGTACATATTATTATTTTTATAACTGTTGTTTTTACACAGTGCTTTGTATTTATTTTAGTTTATTTTATTATTTGAATTAAAACTTTGTTAATTTATCACATTTTTTCTTATTCCTGTGGCACATTGAGCAGTAATTACTTATAGAATTATTGCTAATGGATAAACTGTCATAATAGTAAAATTCAATTCTTTTCTTGTCCTTATTAGCCAAGACAGCTGCAATCAAGTATACTTACAAATCCATTGCATTTCATGCAAAATAATCAAATATTCGAAAAAAAAATATAAGGATATAAAAAGATTAAATTCAACAGGAGAAAAAAGGTGGTAAATATTAGCAACTCCCACCTGTCATAAACTCGATACATAAAAATTTAAAAAAAATATTTCAACCTAATTTGCTTGAATATAATCTGCAAATACACAATCTATGACAGACTTATTGAAATCACCCAAGGATAAATCTGATCAAAAATCTTGTAAAACACGTATTTTTTTATTCTACAAAGCAGAAGTCTAAAACAAATTTGACAACTTGATGAAATTGATCACAATCAAAACTAAACCTTTTGAAATATAAAATACAAGTTATTGCCGTTATTCTTACAAATGTGTTTGACTTTTAACTTGTGATGGCACAGTTTGTGATGGATTTGGGTATAAGTTGAATATTTCCTGGTGTCTATGTTTGCTATTTTCTAACAAATATTCAATTTCAAACAAAGCTATCAGTGGGCGTATATTACCTTGCCTAGCAAGCTATCTTACGTTGTGTTAAAACACCAAGTAAATTGGGTGTTATATCTTGTCCTTTAAGGTATGATAATATTTGAGCTTCTCGTTCGACATCTTCCCAGCTTACACCATGATGATGAAATTCTTTGATGACAACGTTATTTTTATGTTTTTCATACTTGCTAAATAAACAACACCAAAACTACCTCTTCCTATTTCATTATATGAGTTATCATCATTTATTTCATATCTTATGTCGCTTCTTTTAATATCCTGAAGTACTATACTGTTTAAAGTTTCTGGTAAGTGACCTATATCAATGTATACACAAGGAACAAATGGAGAATTCTGCCGATCGAATCCAAACAGATAACATAGTAGAATTATCTATAAAGGGAAAAATGACCAAAATTGTTAATAATAATTCCGTTCCGAATATCAAATTTTTCAAAACTACTATAGTGTTGCATCAATTGCTGATAAAAAATGTTGATTTGAGCTGGAATCGAAATCAGAATCAAATGAATGGTAGTGCGCATATGAAGTGGAAGATTCATTAGGTGATTTGAAGGAAAAATACACCGAATTTTCATTATCATGAGAACATGTAGATTTATCAGGTGATTTGAAGGAAAAATATTCCGACTTATCACTTTTATATGACCTGCTAGATTCATAAAACGATTGGCATGAATAAAACTCTGAATCATCACTATCATATGAGCTGAGGGTTGGATATGAATTGGTAGCTGAAAAGTCATTAGAAAAATCTGTGAAGGAGTAAAAACATTCAGGAGTATCAGCGTCTGAGTTCTCATATGAGTAGTTATGGTTTACGTGTTATAAAAATTATCCTTGGCAGAATACCAATCCTCTGTATCTCGAAGAGTGCTGTATTTGATATTTACTGGATCAAATAAATCAGATGATGTGCGAATATATTCTATTGACCTAGAGTTAGCAAATCTATCAACATCATGTTTTAGTTGTCCAATAGATGTTTTCAATGATTCGTGCATACTATCAAAAGTGTCTTTAAACTTTTGGAAGTTTACCATTATTTTATGTTCAGAAAACTGTTGTTGGCTTGATGTTCCATTAACTGAAACAGCGTGTAGACCAGAATCTGGAGATCTCGAAGCATCACTTACATCTGAAGACGACGTCTGAATTGAAGTAGAAATTGTAGTGGCACTCACTTCATCAGCTGCTGGTATCCTGTTGTAGTTTGTCGGTGTTGCAGCTACAGAATAGCTGGATATTGTTTGTGTAGCAGCTTCAATTAACTCACTTGATATAGTTTTAGTCTCTGTTGATACAGATTGTGTTGAAGTGTCGAACTGTTGGTGGAGACAATCAGAAAACGGATTTCTTTATGCACTTGGGAAATATAAGGAATATCTTCCGTGCCTGTGTTACTGCTGATCCTGAAAAACAGCAAGATAAAAAAATCCTTAAAAATCGAAGAGCTGTATTAGTTATATATTATACATTAAAATATATTTAAAATGTCATACTGTATTACTGTATTATACATTAAATGCCATCTTGGGAGTTTTTATTTTGGTTTTTGTTTCTTGTTAGGGGTAGGGTTAAACGCTTATCTGATAAGAATGCCAAATCGAGCCGAGTCGTGAAGAGAAGCCATATAATAATAGACTAACCTGTATTGATGTGTTTTTTTCAACAGATCAGAACTATAACCACTGACTGTAGATCGAGTCAGTGCATTACTTTGCATTACCTAAAAAAAACAATCAGTGTTACAATATTTTTTAAAAGGCGGCGCCAGCATCCCGAGACTGAGACTACAAAGGTGTCAGGCTGACCTAACAACAGGAGGGCGGGGGACTGTAAAGGTAGCGATTCATTATGCAGCAGTTTTGTGGGTAGGCGGAAGTGTCTAAGAGGATTCCCCCTCAATAAAACCTTTGGAAAATAAAATTGAATTGACACATATTTAGGAGCAAAATCATTAAAGTGGTGGTAAAATTGGGGGTATAAACCATAATTCCCATTAAAACATACTCCCTGTACCCTGGCTGGCTTGAGGGTAAGTAGCAATATTTTTAAGGATATTGACAAAAGATGGACATTGCATTTTATCAGTGCATCTTTGATGATTAAGTAATGGTTTTAAGCTTATAAATACACAGAGATGTTACAAAACGTACCTTTAATGCCTTTAATCTTAGGCTGTTGAAGCACTGAAGATTTTGACGAATTAAACTTGGTTGAAATCCATCAAAAAGAATCTTACTCTGATAGTAGGCGTCCATAATTTCCGAGTTTAACATCAGTCTTTGTTGAAGAGTTCAATATAAACAGTAAAATTATGATAATTTTACTAGAGAACGTTCTATCAACTCCTAGAATTCTAGAGTTCCAAGAATAGAATAACGTTAATAATGGTAAAACTTCATAAGTAAGAATAACGTCATAACGCAACTGGGAACACCCTTTGACCTCTAATAATGAATAACTCATAATGTTCCAAAATTTACCATCTTCTTCAGTAGGCTACAGTTCTTTAGTTTAAAGGGTTTTAACCTTGTAGAAATAAATATCTTCGCCAATAAACGAGGGCGATGGAAATATGCCCTTCTCATTGTATTTTTCAATTCTTTCTGCCACATTGGCGAAATTCGTTAACGGATCTCTACTTAAGAAGTTTCTGGAAACAGAAAACAGACACCCCTTTGTATATTAAACCAAGAACTAACGATCCAATATTTGTTTACAAGCAAAGCCTACAAATACCTGAAGTAACCAAAAATTTTAATCGACGCCAGTAGGTTGTATTTCGCGCTGAAATATTTGTATCACGTGATAGTTTTGTTTTGTTTTTTGTCTTCTTCCGCCCAAGTAAATTCTATTTAACTTGTGAATTTTAAAATGTGTTAATATTGACTGGCGTGGTGGCAGGATTCATACAACGAACTGTTTATTTTGTTAAACCCGTCAAACTTTAACAACTTTATGATCAAAAGAGATCTGGCTGGATGAGCCGACTACCTCGCAAGTCGTGACTGAAATTAAGGTACTTTCACACTTTTCATCCTTAACGTCAATTCTGATAATAATACAAAACGGTCACTATGGCGGCCAATATCAGGGCTCCTAAACAATGGATTCTAACAAAGCACGAAAACATGACCTCTATCGAAGCATGGAAACAAAGTCTTCAGTATACACTGTCACTCGATTCAAACTTCGCTCCTTTCCTTCTGGATGGTGTAGAATGGACTAAGAGGTCTAAAGCTACTCATTATTCCAGTCCAATAATGTTTTCTAATACTAGTCCAACCCCCTACTCCCAGTTCTAAATCATCCCCTACCACTAGTCGAACATCATCTACAACCAATCCTACAACATCCCCTACTACCAGTCCATCCACAAATCCATCAAATCACCTCCCCATAGGCTACAAAACCAGCAACATGCCCTACTACCAGTCCATCCACAAATCCATCAAATCACCTCCCCATAGGCTACAAAACCAGCAACATCCCCTACTACCAGTCCAATAATCTTTTCTAATACTAGTCCAATACAACCCCTACTACCAGTCCAATAATCTTTTGTAATACTAGTCCAATAACGCCCCCTACTACCAGTTCTAAATCATCCCCTACCACTAGTCGAACATCATCTACTACTAATCCTACAACATCCCCTACAGTTACTAGTCCTACAATTTCTTCTACTACCAGTCCTTAAAGATGGGTTCCCTCATTTTCATTTATGAAAATGCTAAAACTTATATTCATGAATAGAAAGTGGAGGTGTTCTATTGAAAAACCAGTTTGTTTCACATGTCCATAATTAATTCATAATTTGCTAAATTAGAAGAGAATTACCAGCAAAATTCCAATGAGTGACGATCAAGAAAGGACAAAACGTATTTTTTTGTTTATCCAGACTGTACTTACATGGACATTTATGATTGGTTAAATCACTTAATTATATGCAATAAGAACATAATGATATAATTAAGAATTAGTAGATTTGCTTGTCTGTAACATAATCAAATTATATTTTGATCAGAGTGGTGTCCCTTGCAGAGGCATCGACCTTGACCTCCGTCTAGCCCTTGTTCTTGGTGCACGCTGGCTTTCGCCATGGGCCATGGTTTCTTCAGCATAATTGTATGAAAATACCCACATTTATATCAATTCAAATCATGGACAAGAGTGGGAAAGGTATGCGTTCCAACACTACGGAAGATATAAGTTTCCTGGATGAAAATGTTGCCTCGGAAAATAGGCCCCATCAAGCTGGAAGGAGTGGAAGCCCATATTTTGAAGAAGATTTAAAAGTTGGTCAAGTCTGCCTGACGAGCTCGTTGACAAGTGGCAACTCTTGAGAAGACGCTAACAAACCTCGGTATTTAACGGCGTAAATCGCAGCTCAAACGAGAAATCGAGAGAAGCTTTATGAAAACTTTCAATGGAACATGCATTATCCCTGATCCCAACCCAATAATATCTCTTCAGACAGATGCGTGTACCGAAGGTTGTGGTGGATACCTAAATGGCGACTATTTTTTTGTCAGTTGGCGACTAGGTATTCCAGGACGAACATATTTATGTCAAAGAATTCCTTTGTATTTTCTTGCTGTGTGTCGATGGGGAAACTATTTTAGGAACAAGTTACAATTACTTATAATCCATAGCGATAACGTAAGTGCAGTGTCGTGGATAAATAAAGGGTCGTCAAGAATCAAAGTTGTGATGTTTACGTGTCGTTTATTATTCTAGATGTCCGCTTCTTTAAACTGTACAATATTGTGTGTAAATATATTCCAGGGATTCGTAAACCATTGGCAGATACAGTTGCGGTTACATGAAAGGGGAAGCTTTAGCGATTTGTATCGACTCGTATCTACTTTGCGAGATTTCAGCCTTCATGTCTGCTCCTTTCGTTTCTTCCAGATATTTTATTCCAATTAAAAACTCAAACTCTAGAGCTTGTTAATAAGGCACCGCCACGTACTCAAAAGACTTACAAGACTCCGCTAAAGTTTTGTAAGCAATACGATATCTGTACATTACCTATCAAGACTGCCTTATTACACGCTTCGCCATTGCACTATTTTGCAATATTTAAATGATGTTTCTATTATTACTAGAAAACAATTCTGCGCTATGTTATAAACTTTTTGTTGCAGACTGAAGTCATCTCTCAACAAAGCTGGATATTATAACCATAGTATTAAAAGGCATTCCTTGAGGCGTGCGGGTGCAGCTTGGCTGTATTTCTACATGCGACCTAGTGACATTTCCTACTGGAAAGATCTTTAAATGTGTCTTATAATATTAGTGCTTTACAATTACGTAACATATACATTACAAAGTGGAAAAAGGTGGAATGACAAGCAACATCTAAGAAATGATGAGAGCACATTTTTCTCAAGTCGCCATGAAAATCGTGCACTTTATCCTTCACCTAAACAGCAATTCTTTTTGGCCCTGTCTAGACAAAAAGTCTAATACAAAATTTAAGAAGGGATTAATGGTACTGGTTAACTTGATTACTTGGAAAATTCTTTGCTGCTCTTAATAATAGACTCAAATAGCACAATGTAGTCTGAATCTGTATCATTCTCCCCTGCTGTATCATACCGTCCCTTGTTACGATTAACGAACAAGAAATGATTAACAGAAATAACAATTAATTACAAAAATAAATTGAAAAAAACGCTATCAACTTCTCGGAAACATCACTAGACAAACACATTACGTGCAATTGCAGGTTTTGGAAGATTAAAGGGGTTGTTATGTCTCCCATCAGTTGATCTTTGACTCCTGCGGACTGAAGCGTTTTCATTAGACGTTGTTATCTTCTAAGTCTATATCTTCCGGTGGTACCTCAGACTGAGCAGGTTCATTACCCATCCATTCTACTTACAGGTTGGTCTAGATTATAGTCTCTGATTTCTGGAAATGGTTCCAAATGAATATCATCCAATGAATTTCTTTCCCGGATTTTCTCACTAATATTTGGCTTATCAATAACATCATTTAACAAAAGTACACATTCATCATCAGATGATGAATCACAAATAAAATTATGTGACTTTTTAACACGATCACATTTTTTACTTTTCACATTATTTGAAACATTATGATCAGAATTCACATTACATGCTTTTAAATTTACACGATTCACAATTTTAGTAACACCATCTTCAGATGTAACTATATATATATGTCGTTCTGGATCAACACGCTTTAACACTCGATAAAAGTCGATACACTTTCAAGCATCTTGTATTTTATTTCGACCAACGACTCGATTTCGTAAATAACCATGTGCACCTGACTATAATGTATATGAATCACGTTTTGGATCATGTCTCTTTTTACGCTCTGATGCTTCTTGTTGAAGGTACTCCCCTGCTTTTTGGTATGCCAGCTTAAGCTTTCCTAGCCGAGTTTCTATATAATCATTGACAGGCGCGTAATCTTTGGCAGATTCTTCTTTGTCAATGTTGAATAACAAGTCTATAGGAAGTCTCGGGTGTCGACCTTTCATTAAATAAAGTGGAGTAAATCCAGTCGATGAATGTACTGTCGAATTATAAATGAACACTAATTCTGGTAAATTTTGAGGCCATTTACGTTTTTGACTAGGGTCTAATGATCTAAGAAGGTTATGTAATGTCCTATTGAACCTTTCACACTGCGAATTTTCTTGGGGATAATAAGGTTTGGTACGCCTTTTCTTAATCTTATAGATTTTGCAGAGTTCACAATCAAATTACTCCTGAAATTCCTTCCTTGGTCAGAATGTAGTCTCTCAGATACACCATATCTTTGAACGAACTAACACAATAGCAATTGTATATGCTGTCTGATTCCTAGTAGGTACAGCAATAGTAAATTTACTGAATACGTCTGTCATAACCAATATATTTTCACGTCCACAGCTGGATTTCTCTAGCAAAGTATAATCCATATATAGCTACTATTTCATTAGGACTAGATGCTACAAGGTGACTCATAGGTACTTTTACACGTGGAAAAGGCATTTTTGCTAAACATTCACAATGTCTACAATAATTGGTAACGTCTTGGAACATACCAGTCCAATAAAATTTTGAACGTATCAAATAAAATATAGTTCCCGACTGATTATGAAGTAAGGAAATTATTTTCTCTTTTAAACATTGAGGTAAAACCAGCTGTTTCAATGATCCCTGTTGTGGATCCGTTACAATACGATACAAAATTCCATCTTCTAAGGTAAGTCTATCTTTTTGAAGAAGCATATGCAGAACAACTCTGGACTCCATAAGTCTTCCTTGGTAGGCTTTCTACTTTCCATCATATAATATACCACTCGACTTATGATACCATCTTCTTTCTGTAACTTTTCAACATCTTTTTTGTCGTAACCTGGTAAAGAATAATATAGAATGACAATTAATTTCCATTTTTGGCTCGAAATGTGGTGATTGTGTATCTTGAATCAATTGATGTAAAGCCGTTAGTCTATATTTTGTAGGTAAATTAGTACTGGTGCGATGTGATGAAAGAATGATCTCTTCTACAGGTTTCTTGGACAAAGCATCTGCTGCAGAATTCAATTTTTTTGGATGATATTGAATTGTAAAGTCAAATTGAGCTAAATATCTGAGATTGCCCGAATTTCTAATATCATTGTGAGATTTTTGTCCGAAAAACTTGCTTTCGTGGCTGTGAATGTTTATTTGTGCTAGAAGTAGATTTCTCTTTGTTTAGTGTACCAATAAGATCGTACAATTGTTTGGCTACAGCTGAGAATAACTTTACGAAACGTCTGTAATAACTGGCAAATCCTAAAAATGACCCTTTAGTGTCTTTGGTCTTCCTTACAACATCTATTTTGAATAAATGAGTAAATGTCTGAAACACAGTTTCATTGAAAAATGGTTGCATCAACCTCTGAAATGTTGCTGTTGTATTTGTTAGTCTCATAGGCATCCGTGTATATTCAAACAAACCCATTGGCTTTACAAAAGCTGTTTTATTTTGGTCCTCAGGATCCATGGCAATTTGATGAAACCCCTTAGCCAAATCAATTGTTGATTATACACTCGAGCCATACAGGGCATCTAATGATTTCTGGATACGTGGCAATGGGAACGCATCTCGTACCGTCTTCAAATTTAGTTTCCTGTAATCCACACACAAGCGAATTGATGCATCTATTTTTTCGATATAACCAATGTATGGAATTTCTAAACCGTTGGCTGCTTTTAAAGATATGAAATTGTCTTTGATCAGAGGAATATTTCTTTCGTAAAACGATTCAGGTAGAGTTGCTACACCAGACCCAGTGTCTAACAGTAATTTGGTTGTGGAACCTTCTTCAAAACCTATTTCTACATCGGAACAATCACCAATCATGTAGGGTTATGTTCCCTTTAATCTCGTCAAGGTTATGTTACTATGTGAAAATCAGGACCAGCACAAATATTAGGAGCCATGGCCCCTTGCCTCACCGTACAAGCACCAATATGGCGCAAACCTTTAAATTGTACTGTTTGTTTTGGTGATTGGAAGTAAATAATACTAAATACTAAATAAGTAAATAGTCTTAGAATTTCACATTTATAGAAAAACACAAATCGAACGATTAAGTGTAGGCCTATCAGAAATGTTTTTGACAGTGTCTCAGAAGCCATAGTGCATGCACCTCGTCTAGGCCTAGGCTTAGATAGCCAGTGCGTGGAAAGAAACCCTCTCACAAAGTTTCCATATCTATTATATCCAGTTTTTAGACCTGAACATAACACAATTTGCAAAACCCCTGAAATCATCGAATGTACATGTACTTACATCGCATAGAAAAAATTTGTCATGGGATGGGGAGTCCAGTCGGATCGTTCCCATTCTCTGTGTCTCCTTTTATCCTTAGGGAACCTGTGCATCACTATACCTTCTCCAGATTTGACAGAGCATTTCCATGCCACACATCGAGGCATTCTGTTGCCAGACAAGAACAGGAATTAGGCTTAAACAACGTAAAGAATACCCAGGCTCCTACGCCTAAACGTCGCGGGAAGGGTAATAATATGGCGGCCTTCAATCACGTGACCGCTCTGCGCCAATCATGGTTCAGCGCGGCGAGATCACAAGTTGGCCAGACTCTCTCTATATACGGCTCTGGGTTTTACTGTATTTAGGTTTTGTTGTCTGAAGCCAAAAGGCTGCTTAGAGTTACGTCCCTTGACAATTTGACGTCTGGTAAATGTGCGGTAAAAAGACGCTTCTGTTTTATTTCCTACTTGACGTTTAATAAGCTCGTGATTTAAAATATGAAGTAATTTTAAATTAAAGCTTGTTTAAATTTTGTATTTGCTGTTCGTTTGAGAGCAGGTGTGTTCGCTTTAGAGCACCTTTATTAGTTTGGGAGTGATGTAGGAGCAGGAACTGTTTTGTTAACCGACGTCCGACATGCGATGGCTGACAGCAGACGACAACCGACCGAAAATGATTTTGGGTAGAATTGCCTTTTTTGAATGGTGGATTTCGCTGTATTTGGAACTTTTGTTCCAATGTAGTGACGTGTTATTTAAATCCTGAACTGTCAATGAATAAATTTGTATGTTGATTGATAGACTCCTTTTTTTTATTAACAAATTGTGATGCAACATAATTTGTGCCGGTACAACGGAAATTCAGGAACAATTTTCTTTCACTTCTTTCACTTCTTCTTTCAAAGATTTAACTTCTGCTCTCAATTCCTGAGGTATTTCTTTCAACTCTGTATTTTCATTTCCCTTTGATCTAACAACAGCATAGACTGTTCTTCACCTTCTCCGGTCTATCTGCATCCATAGAGTACAAAAAAAAAACAGATTTCGGACCTGTCTGATTCTCTTCTTCAATTCTCTACGCAACGTTGCAACTTTAACATTTTCTGCAAATTGGTCTCTCTAAATATCATTTCTACTAAACTTAGTTTCTGGACAAACTTTGAAAACTTTGTCTAATTTACACATTAATAGTCCTATCGAGATTGTTTATCACTCTGTTTAGTTTGATAAAATTCACTAAGAAGGTGAGTGGCCCTTATGACCTTTCACCAAATACTTCAATCAATATTTCGAATATTTTGTCTGTCGTAGTCTTTTCTGAATTTGGTCTATATCTAAGCTCTTCTTTAGCTGGACCGTCAAGTTGATGAAGTATAAAGTCCACTTGCTCTTCTTTTGAAGAAGGTCTAGATCTTAAACATCTCAGCATCTCTTCCATAAATTCGTAAACAGTGGCAGCTTCTTTTTCCTTTTTTCCAGAAAACTTTTCTTTCACGAGGAGCGAAAACTATTTTCGGTTCAGTCCTCGAATCCCTCTTTTGTACATCATCAAGTACAATCTCCAGTTGACTACGCGTAGATCTTCGATTTCACCATTATCCTTTTCGATTGATCCACCAGATTTATCTTTGCCTCCGGATGCCATATCTTGATCTATCTTCTTCAAACTAAACTTTCAACTAACTATCTATAACTCTTCTCTTCTGCTTCTTCTGTTGTCCACTTGAGCATTCCACCTTTTTAACACAGATCTTTGAATGTGTCTTATAAAGTTTATTATATTAATGCTTTACAATTACGTAAGATATACATAACAAAGTGGGAAAAAGGTGGAATGACAACAAAGTCTAATACAAAATTTTAAATTATTTAAGAAGGGATTGAAAGTACTGGTTAACTTCACTACTTTGGAAATTCTTTGCTGCTCTTAATAATAGACTCAAATAGCTCAATGTAGTCTGACTCTGTCTCATACATTGATCTTTCCGAATTATCTGTGGGAATAATGAGAAAATTGACCGACAGAAACTTAGTCATTACATTTTCCGTCATTTGTGCATGAATTATATTCTTGGTTGGAGCAAACTCTCCAAACTCTTCTCGGCGAGCGTCGTATGCATTCAACAAGAATGTTGTCCATAGTGGCCTCAGATGTAAGGATTCAAAACTTGAAATGTTTTAAAAAATTCTTGGTTGGAGATTTTCTCCCAAAAGTGTATCACATAAGATCTTTGCCGGGTGAATTGCTAGAACTACAGACGGCGCAAATTGATACTAACGCAATTATTAATAACCACTGACTAGATCTAACTGTTCAGAGAGCTTCCATGAAGAGGCATAACCCTAACACTACAGCCATTACACTATGGGCAACATAGCGGATTAAAATTTGATAATGTGGCGTTTTTATACTGGTTTCCCCGAAATTTTACCTGTATTTTCGGGTTGTTGCTCGATATTCTTTCAGACATCTTCCTCACCATCTGAAATTTACGGAAAGCCATTACATGAAACACCCTCTATACAGCATTGGCCAACTCAGTAGTAAAAATAAAATTAAGGCGATTATATATGTTTATGAAATTGCTTATGTTAATGACACGGGACCGCCCTCTAAACCGTTGTGAGTACCGTTGAACTCGATTTAATTTCATTTCTGGTTGAGACTTAATGTGTCAACACCATTATTCACAGCAATAAAGTGTCATCAAGGAAATAAACTTTCTGATGGTATGGCCAATGCTGCCCTTTCGCGAAACCACTAGGGGTTAGCCAAACTTATTTCGAAGCTGGTATTAGTGCAACCATATTGTTTGTTGCATTTCAAGGGGCGGTTCCTCATGAGAGGCCAAGGACACTTAAGTTTCGACTCAGATGCTTTGGGTTACAGAAAAGAAACAATTGACATAATAAACACCAGTCTGTGTACCCAGTGTCAACACCTAATACTTTGTTTGGAGCTCTGGATAATCACCATCACTTACCAACTTTTAAATTACGTTTCAAAATTTGATTCTGTGGAAACAGGAAACATCAGTTAAATTTTGATACATTTGATGTTTTTCACCAAAAGGATAAGCATATGAATTGTAAATCCAGCATGTTTTCATGTCACATCTGCATTTGTCAATTTTTGAAAAATATGAAAATAAGTGCAAAATGTTGATAATTGAGAATTATATCAAACTGGTTATAAACGAATGAGAAGATAGCTTGTCAGGCAAGATAACATACCTCCACTGGCAGCTGTCAGAAATGATAAATCAGTCTTTAGTGACTAAAGTACATATTTTCTCATATTAGTTTGAATTCAATGATATATTCATCTAAAAAAAAATTTAAAAATCAATATCAATAACCCAAATACATCAAATTAGTAAATCATGCAGCTCTTATATCATGGGCCAAAAATTATTAGGAGTGAAATTGTTGAAAATTTAAACTTGACCAAGATCTCATCAATATACAAATAATAGAAGTAAAACTCCATTCATTTCATTTTATTCATCAATATAAATCATCACACAACATTTCATAAAAATCACATGAAATCTTTAATCTCTATTTTGATCATGAACAAATTTGGAAGCATTTTATCTAAGTCAAGGGCTATAACTCAAAAACTGTTCATCGAAAGATCGTCAAATTCAACTTGACCAGGATCCCATCAATATAAATGATCACACCAAATTTCATTAAAATCGGTTGAAATCTGTTGACTCTTTGTGTTCACAGAAAAATTTGACGCGTTTTTCCTAAGTCAAGGGCAATAACTCAAAAAAGATTTATCTAAAAATTGTCAATTTCGAACTTGACCAAGATCTCATCAATATACATTATCAAGCTTCATTAAAATCAGATCAAACTGTAGTCTCTATTGTGTTCACAAGAAATGTCAACAACCCAACCGACCAACGGACAGGGGTGACAGCAATGATGTTATGCTACCAAGAATACCTCACATGTTGATGTTTAAAATTATCAGATGGTGAAACCTATTGTACCTGATTACCTACCTTGCAGATCATGGCTATTAGCACCAGGTATAGCTCTTGGTCCAGGGTTCTTACAGAACAATAAAGAGAGAAAATTTGTCCAGTTAGAGGATAAGATTAATAAAAGGTGAACAAAAAAACAATACACATTAAGATTTTTAATCTGATATACACCAGTTTAATTATCCATTACCAGTATATAGAAATTTCAAATAATGAACAAATTTACAAATTTGTTTACATTCTTTGACTATGATTAAAGAAATACACTGCATTATAAATAAGCTAAGTGAGCATTAAGAAAATTAAATTACTAGATTTGAATAGACTGAATATCAGAAAGTAGTTGATATATTAGTATCTTAGTACAAAATGTGTTCTTGTTTGATATTAGATCCAATTCCGTTAAAATTCCCATATGTTTTAGGCAGAGCACTTTTAAGTTTATTACTGAGGACAAGTTCAATTTCTTGAAAGTTCACAAGTCTGTACACATCCCTATCATTACGAATAATAGTATTGGGTAATTTTCTAACTTTGTGAACTAGTTTTGGATCAACATTCAATTCTGCACACAGTAACTGAATCAATTCTGAAAATGTAAATTTCTGTTTGTCAAATTCTACCTCAATAAAATCTGTTTCTTCCATATTGGCCACTCTTGCCTTCAAAACAAGGTCACCATCATAACCATTTGTAGCAGATGACACCACACTACTACTGCTTCTTACGGGATTAGATAGGCCTATTGAGCCTGCGTTTCTTGAAACATTTGCATTTGGGTTAGGAACAGAATTGTTTTGAACATATGGGAATTGTGGATTTGCCAAGTAATTTGGGGTAATTGGTAATTCATTGACCCTTTCTTTTAAATTGTCGTGTTCACTTATTCCAAATAGTTCCAAAACTTCTACATTTTTAGTTAACTGTTGTGCTGTTTCCCCCTTATTATTTGCAATCGTTTTGTCGGCACCTTTCTGAAGCAACAAATCGACAATTTTCGGGTGGTTTCTTTTAGCTGCCCAGTGTAGCGCAGTCCATCCATTTATACTATTTTTAGAGTTTATGTCTGTAATGTCACATAAACGGTTTACAGTGTCAATATCTCCTATACTTGCAGATTCTCTCAAACGTTCTTCCCTTTCGGAATTCTGATCCATTATAAAATGTTTTAGGAAAGTATTTCGATTTTACAAGATATTTTTAACAATGGTTGCTTCCCCTTATCTGATCTTTTCATAGAAGGTAAAAATAGCCAATTTTATTATTGTATTGTTGAAGTTAACTTCATTATTTTATATACCTGTATTCGAATATTTAAGCTTTATAAAGATCTTCATTGATTTCATAAAATGAATTTTAAATAAGGGTTTGCGTCATTTTGCCGAATTACCGGTACCTTTCCATTACGTTACATAAAAACCTTTTTGTTTATGGGCCAAATCCAATAGGCTACGAAAGCCAAAAATTTCTCAAATGAAAAACAGGTCGAATTATAGGCCTAAATAAGGGACAGTTACTCCATTTTCTTTATCAATCTTTATACCTTAGTCTCAGAAACGGTATTTTTTTTTCGCTAATCCAATCCGTAATAGTGTCACAGTCACAGAAGTTTTTATTTTTGTCAAGAAAAGGCCATTTTTAAGTTAAGTCTTCTATTTTCTGCAATTCAAACACAGTTGTGTAATTTCCCGGGGTTTCAGGAAAATCCAGATGAGGCAGAAATGTTAAAATAGAGGTTGTAGATTAAACAGATCTCGAGAGGGTTTAATTCAGTAAGATTTGAAAATTGACAAGAAAGGGCGTGAAACTTTCGAGAATACAAAGTCTCAATTAAGTTGTCCACGCGTCATTGACTGCGTTAGTTAAGTACTATCCGTCTGCGAAAAGACACAGACATGTCATAGATTGACCTTTAACTAATCAAACAAAAATAAGGTTGAGACGTCGGTCATGTAGGTTTAAATGTCCGTTTAGCTTATGTAGACTATGCAAGGAGGAAGAGAAGGACCATTTGAAACTCCTTTACTTTCTTAGAAGCGAGTAGACAAAATATTCGTCTTATAACTTCTATAGAACAATTCATCTTTTAACTGCAATAAAACCTTGTTTAAATATTTTGACATGGATACTCTTCCATAATAAAAACTGGAGGTAGGTCAATTCACAGAACAGCCAACTAAACTTCCGGTATACGTCAAAGTGTGTTTCAATCTTTAGACGCGAAAGACTCATATTGAAAATTCCCGTCACATTTGATCAAGAATTAAATAATTATGGTTTAATATTACCATGCGTTACAGATCTTATCAAGATAAATATGAATCACCCTACAGGTATGTTGTTTCATAATGTTGTTTTTTTTTGTAATCCTGACAATAAAATTGACGGTGAATAATAGTGATAACAGAGGTAGACCGTATTCGTTTTTGTAGCCCAATTCGATTAGGTTTCGATTTGCTAGTACGATTAGGTACGATTTGCAGTGGCCCACAAATGTGATACCAGCGATTAGCCAATATAGCTGACGGCACTGTCAACAAAAGAAGGTTGTCTATTAATATTAGCCAATGACATCTATGTTTATATAGACAACATTAATCAAATTAGCCAATAGCATAAATGACCAATGACGTCACACCACACCTAATTGAATCACACCTAATCAATGGCCTAACCACCTACTGGGACGGTTAGGTCGATTAGCCTAATCAGTTTAGGTAAACTGTCTCACAGATTAGCCTAAACGTGTTGGCTCACAAATGCACAAAATAGCTAATCTACCTAATCGAATCGTGCGACAAAATCGACTTAGTTTGTAGCTAGGGTACTGTCAATTACAGTGTCTGTGTTTCCCAGTACTAGCAATTTGGAAACAAATATATATGATTTGCCTTAGAATGATTAAAGAAATTGAAAGATTTACTACTCTTTACACTTAAAACACTACCTTCCTAGAAATTACTTGATTATTATGTTAAAATATGTAAAAATTAAAAGGGCAAGGAAATATTTTGACTGAAACATTGAGTAAAATTCTCCTGTGACTCTTTCTTTTGTAAAATTAAAGTTCCAAACTAAATACTTTCATTAGTATTAGTAGAGATTTTCAAAACTCAAAGATGATCTAAGAATCACATTACTATTTTGAAAAATAAATAGAAGAATGTGTATCTGACACTTATTAGTGGTTGGACAGTAATTGGATATTCAGTAAATTGGACTAGGCTATATGAACTCAGTGTATAAACATAGTAAATAATTTATTGAAATTTTTCAATTAAATGATTTATATCTTTTCAGAGGCTATGGAACTTCAGTAGTAGGTGACATGCGCATATTAAAGTAAACCTGTAATTTTGTGTCATTTTTTGAGTGAAAAATATAAGTTCAACGATTTTCCTTTTTTCGTTAACTTGTGATTCTATTAATCAAGTATTTAATTTTGATGGAATATATATTTTCTTGTCTTTACTTTGAAATTTTGACTGACACATTTTAAGAAAAATAATCATTACAGTCTAGCACAACCAAGCGTGTTTGTTGTGAGAGGGGCCATTCCTTTTATATATAAATTTATATGCTGGTCAGATAAACTCACGGCATGTCTGTATTTTTACTTTTTCAGATAGCACTGACCAATCAGGTGCATTGAAAAATATACTACTAACCAAAATAACTCTCAATAAAGGTACAGAAGATGAGCTGGTAAGTAAAATTACATTTAAACTAATTGTTTGACTGTAAGCTTTTACCCATAAACAATTTAATATTATCTTGCCTCTCTTTATGTGGATGTATGTTGTTTGCTTCCATGTTTGCTGTCATATTAAATACTTGTTATATTTCAGTATATATCGTTAAATGAAGGTCAAATTTTAAAACTGTCTATTGTTAGCTTTAGCCCTGAATAATGAACTGCTATTATAGCTCCCTAAGTTTTCATCTGATTTTTTTGAAAATTAGAATAATGTAAAAAAAAATTAAGGTCATGTTGGAATTTAGCTAGATAGTTTTAATTTGAGTTATTGTTATTGTCCTATTTATGCTTTTCCATATGTTGAATTTGAGTTGTTACACATTTATGATTTGATTAATTTTTGCCATGTTTTGGTATATTTAATGATTTTGGATAGGTGTTGCATGCTAAGCAGATCAAGCTTACTCTTTTAGAAACACCAGTTTTGTTGGTGCTTTTTGTTTGGGGAGTCCACTACTATACAAATATTGCTCTTTCTCTGTATTTATTCATAACTTTTCTACCATGTGAAATTACCCTTGTACATTGCATTGCCTGAATAATTTGGAGGTCAGTAGGTGTTTTGGATGTAAAACTCCATTTGTGTTCTATTGTAGGAATGCTATGCATATAAGACTGATCCAGTGAAAAACGTTATATTTATATTGTTAGTATTACTAACAGGGGGTTTATTATTATTATTGTTATATTGGAAACCAGAATTAGAATGTTACTTAAGAAGAGGAAGATGCCCTCTTTATAAAGCCAAATTTATATTGGTTGAGGTAGGATTATTTTGTATTTATTTATGTATTTATCTCATTGAAATAGTCTTAAGTTATTTTTACGCAGTTTATGGAAAGGCTGTAATTAAAGTGATAGGTACGCCATTTTGTGGGGTTGAATTTTGTCTTGAGTATATAGTACTGGCACGCTATATCGATGAATCGATGTATTGCGATACGACATGCCATATTGCGCAAATCGTATCACGACGTTGTATATAGATACTTTGTGATATCTTTTATACCACTTCTATCAACTATATTACCTAATATCACAGTTATAAAGTTATGAATTAATATGATTAAAACTTTGGCAATAAAATGTAAATTTCTCCATATCACGATATATATCGCATCGTGACCCTTTTATCCTATCATGGCATGATTGACGATACCCAGCAATATGAATATGATATGTAAATAGTCTTCAGAGGTACTAGAAATGTAAGAAAATTGCGTAATTTCTTTAAAAATGTTTCAAACTAGGAATTTTACTCTCAATTTCTATAATGCCTTTTCTATATATCACAGAGTATCTTAAATTGACGAGTTGTCATTTTAACATTCAATCACAGACATGGATTTGAAGGCTCAAATTTTGGCAGTGAGCTGCGAACACTATACTGATTGACTCAGCTGAAAAATATCGGTTTCCAAGACTAAAGTATGATTTGTAAAAAAAAAAATGGCGCATAAGTACCTTTTAATGAATGTTAATTTCCTTCGATATCGATTATTCTGCCATTTTAAAAATGTGTTCAAGATGAAACCAGAAATGCATTCAAAAGAGAAATCACTCTGGTAAGGACTATATCCAGCACTTTATAAGCATATCTTGACACAATTGTTTATTTTCAGGACCATGTAGGAGAATATTCAACTACGACTGTTCAAACTGGATTGAGTGAGCATCAACAAGGGTAAGTTTTCACAACCTTGGATTCATAACAAATTATTCAAAGCTAAGGCTGCAACGGTTAGACATGTAAGCGAAAATGTGCCAGTTAACGTTTAGAAAATGGACAATCGTGTCTTTATTTTATTGCTACTATAGACAGTTCCACGTAAAAATAGCAAACTTATCGGAGTAACTGAATTAGCCATCTTGATTAATTGTTGTGGTTGGTACATAAATGTTCTAAGTAAGCATTTGATAGAGACCTTATATTGATCTCGTCCATGTCTATCGTCTTTTAGTTCATCCAACCAATGTTCATCAATTACTTCAATTCCAACTCCCATCCCCAAATTGCTGACATAGTAGATACATAAATAATTAGCATATTTTAGAAATCCTGCACTATTTACACCTTTTTATAATCAAAATATTGCATACCACTGCCTCTCTAAAAACAAATTTATTTATGTGCAAACATTGACTAGCATGTCAAGCTATCTTTATTTTCATAAGCAAATGATTGAAACATTGACAAGTCCGATTTCATGATATTTTGGTTTCCATATAAAAGTAATTGGGCCTATCAATAAAAAACCTTCACATGTAACCTTTATATCAGATTATGATAGTTTAGAGATAATAATGATTGATAATAATTGATGTGCTTGTCTCTACATGATACAGGGTTGTCAATACAGTTTCATATACCACTCTTACATCATTCTCTTAAATATCTGATGATTGCTCTGATATATTCTGTTATATTTTCTGTTTCTTTATCATTTATCATTCAAATTGTATTATTAGCTGCAAATTGATAGTGAATATATCAATGTAACAGTTTTGATTGAATTATTAATGAATGGGAGATAAACAACTTGTTCATGATATTGACTATGTCAAATATATCTTGATATCTATCTTGGTTGTCGTCCTATTGGAAGATTTCATTTCAAGAATTGAAGATCTTTTCTGACATTCTTTTTATGAATTTTGCGATCTTGTGTAGTTCTTGTGCTTCTAAAGACTATTTAAATATATTCAAGACCTCAATTAATCTCCATAAATAGCGACCATGACCTTTATTCCCCCTTTCTGTTATCATAATTTTTGTAAATTTCAATTGGTGTTCTGAAATCTCATTTTTTCTGTTAGATAAAGTGATAGCAAGTTTAATAGTGTAACTTATTATGGTTGATTTAGATACCTATCATAAATATTTATTAATACTGATATTAGAAATTATATATATTTGACATTATGGTGGATAATTATTGATTGTGTCTACTAGATAATGTATGTTTAATTAGAATAATTACTCAGGTGTAATGATATTCTCATTTTTATTAACAGCTGTTACTGAACCTTCAATTTTATGTAAACTTATTTATTTGCCTGTAAATAAGTAATGAAAAATATTCCCCCCCCCCACCACCAAGCCTAACAAGCTTTTATATTTTAATTGAACTCTTAAGATGGTAACTTTGGCAGTAATGTTGGTATCATTAAGTTTGTAATAAAACATGATTTTTATTTTTATAATTTTAGAAACTATAGCGGTCATAGTGTTGTTGATAATGATGAAAACAGATTTCTTATATCCAATAATGATATTACTTTACGTTATTTTGATTTTCATAATGTGCGTTATATCTGGGATAAAAATCAGCATGTCTATTGCAGACTAGGGTAAGTTTTTACCCTCAGAAAATATTGAGATAATTTCCTTAATCATGTTACAGTTTGAAGCCTTTGACAGTCCCAGTCCATGTAGTTTATATTCACTTCGTTTCTTGTGATAATATTCCTGAAAGTAACCTTTGACACTGTTGTATTACGATTTTTTCAATGCTTGGGTTTGTTTAATTCATTTGCAATGTGCCCTGATTTGATTGTGGACAACTTGGCTGCAGAGGTTGTAATTTAGCTCTATAAGCTGATTATGGAAAGAAATAAATGCGTTGAAACAAATATAATAACAGTAAACACCATAAAAATTATCGTATTTCCAGAGATTTGTCAACAAATGTAAAGTGTGCCGAGTTACATGATCAGTATAATGGCTTGACATCTCTTCAACAAGCAGAACAGTAAGTGTACATTGTTTTCAAGATGAAGTCTATCATTTGATTTACAGTAACTACTTGATTTCCTATAATAATTATCATGACATACTATTAATAGGAATATAAAGTATTGGAGGGACAGGTGCACCATATTTTTTGACCAATTATACTGTAGTCTCAGAACAGGAATGTCTAGCTAAGTCAATGAGTAATAGTGTTCCCAACTACTTGTCATTTTAAGATACTCTTTGATATATAGAAAAGACATATAGAAATAGTAAGTAAAATTCCTGTTTGAAGTATTTTTAAAGGAATTATCCTACATTTCTAGTACTTCTGAAGACTATTTTTGTATATTCAAGACTCAAATCTACCCCCCCAAAACAGCAAATGTCCCTTTAACAAACATGTTATTGTTTTCAGACTAGACATACATGGACCAAATGTCATTGATATAAAGGTGAAATCATATTGGAGATTATTTATTGAAGAGGTAACTATCTATATAATAGCATTATTTACAAACAGTTTGATCATCAACTTTAGACGTATAAACGCTATTTTTACCTCAAAGAAATCTGGAAAAATCTCTATATAATAAATATATTATTTATCCCATCCTGACGAAATAATTACCAAGTTGGCAAAACACAAATACTCTAGAGCTTTACCCTACTTAGGCCTAAACTTTGAAAACTTGGTATAATATTTATACTATTGTTTTGTTTTTTCATTATGTCATATTTGAATTAATCATTTTATTCCTGTAACATTAAGGCAAAATTGAATTGAAAAAATCAAATTAGAATTCTGCAATTTACATAATTTTTATTAATCTGTCATCTGAGACTTTTTTTAAAATTTGTATTTTATTTTTAGGTTTTGAATCCATTCTATATATTTCAAATAGCCAGTATAATACTATGGGCAATAGATGAATATTACTACTATGCTGGTTGTATTTTCTTCATATCACTGGTTTCCATCTCTATCAGTTTATATGAGACCAGGAAGGTTTGTTATATGTTACATTGAGATAACGTTTTTAGAAAAGTTTAGAATCTTTGTAGATTAATGAATTTGAATCATTTCTATGGACTTGTCAATGTTTTTATACATGAAATGGGGGGCGTATATTGCCGTAACCCATGTCCGTCGGTCGGTCAGTCCGTCCACAATTGCTCGTAAACACTCTACAAGACAATTCTTGATGGATTTTGACAAAACTTGGTGTGAGTAATCGTAATCACCAAAGTCCTATTGAAAATCATAGAATCGAGTTCAATTTTTTAGCTCGTGAACATTCTAGAGGGCCCAATTCTTGACAGATGAAACTTAGTGAAATTGTTTATTATCACCCAGTCTAAAATCATGAAAATCTGAAATGTTTCACAGGAGTTATAGACCTCGTTTTGAAATGCTTCCAAATTTTAACTCTTAAACACTAATAGGCATGATTCTTGCATGATTCTTCTATCACAAAACTTGGTTTTATTCTTCAGTACCGCACTGAAGGTTGAATATTTGCCTTCTAGAGTTTTCACAGGCTAAAAATTGAACACGTTTTCAAGAACAAGGTCAATAACTCATACTCAGTATTATTCTGTCTTGTTCAAAAGAAGTGTATGACTGAAGGTTGAATATTTCATACTGGTGATTGTTACTGTACTGCTAAATATTTTATTCAAAATCAAAGCTGCCAGTGGGCGTATATTACGTTGCCTGGCAAGCTATCTTGTATATTTTAGCAATCAGTAACATTACGAGATATGGTGTCTACTGTAGTTGACAAGATTAGTGTTTGTAGAGGTGACAATGGTAAGTATTGATACTTGAAGAGAAAATAACAAGAAAAATATTGTGAAGAACAATTGTATGTAACATCATTTATGTATCCAGAGAACTAACAGGTTAATTGAATAATGAATTGTAATTGTTATAGAATATGAAGAAATCCCATCAAGTCAGTTAGTACCAGGTGATGTTATAGTTATACCTGTACATGGTTGTGTATTAACTTGTGATGCTGTGTTAATAGCTGGTACCTGTATTGTTAATGAGAGTATGTTAACAGGTAAATTTATTTTTATATATTTATTATACCTATGTAAATTAATGGACTTTCAATGATATCCAGTAGTTATCAGTAAAACAGGTAAAATTTTAAACTTTTTATGATGTCCAGTTTGCAAACAGATTTCAGAACTTTATGTTACGTCTTTTTTTTTGTCATGTCAAATTCTTGAACACTTTATAACATTAAATATTTATCATGTCAAATTCTGACATGTAAAACTTTGAACTCTCTATAATTATATGTGATCTTTTACAGCTGAGAAGTCAAATTCTGAACTATGTGTAACATCTAATATTTATCAGCTGATGAGTAAAATTTGGAACTTTGTGAAATATCTAATATTTATTAGCTGACAAGTCAAATTCTGAACTTTGTGTTATATTTGATATTTATCAGCTGATGAGTAAAATTTTGAACTTAGTGAAATATCTAATATTTATTAGCTGACAAGTCAAATACTGAACTTTGTGAAATATCTAATATTTATCAGCTGATATGGAAATTTCTAAATTCTGTGAAATATCTAATATTTATTAGCTGACATGGAAATTTCTAAATTCTGTGTAATATCTAATATTTGTCAGCTGACATGGAAATTTCTAAATTCTGTGAAATATGTAATATTTATTAGCTGACATGGAAATTTCTAAATTCTGTGTAATATCTGATATTTATTAGCTGACATGGAAATTTCTAAATTCTGTGTAATATCTAATATTTGTCAGCTGACATGGAAATTTCTAAATTCTGTGAAATATCTAATATTTATTAGCTGACATGGAAATTTCTAAATTCTGTGAAATATCTAGTATTTATTAGCTGACATGGAAATTTCTAAATTCTGTGTAATATCTGATATTTATTAGCTGACATGGAAATTTCTAAATTCTGTGTAATATCTAATATTTGTCAGCTGACATGGAAATTTCTAAATTCTGTGTAATATCTGATATTTATTAGCTGACATGGAAATTTCTAAATTCTGTGTAATATCTAATATTTGTCAGCTGACATGGAAATTTCTAAATTCTGTGAAATATCTAATATTTATTAGCTGACATGGAAATTTCTAAATTCTGTGAAATACCTAGTATTTATTAGCTGACATGGAAATTTCTAAATTCTGTGTAATATCTAATATTTGTCAGCTGACAAGTCAAATTCTGAAATCTCTATGATATCCAATATTCATCAGCTATCATGTAAATTTCTAAACTTGATTTAACTTTCAATCTTTATCAGCTGACAAGTAAAATTCTGATATTTGTTTGATTTCAAGGTGAAAGTGTTCCAGTGACAAAGACATCACTAACCCATCAAGATGATCTAGAAATCTACAGTCCTCAGAATCATAAACGACATACATTGTTTGCTGGTACACATATTATACAGACTAGATATTACGGTCATGCTAAAGTCAAGGCAGTGGTTGTTAGAACAGGTAAGACCATTGCTAATCTGATTTATTAATCATAAAGATTAGAATATGCCCAAGAGTTTAAAACCTGCTCTCAGAGGGAAAGGGTTTTGAATTTAATAACAACTTGAGACGAACCTGAAAAATTCAACCCCAAAATGTGCTCTCTCAGTTGTTCTGGGAATTTTTTAAATTTCATATTTAAGATTCTTGCATGGGGCTTTGAAAAAATATCTCCAGCTATTGTTAATATTCATTTATATACATATTTTGTTATATTGTTTTAGGTTATAATACTGCTAAAGGAGAGTTAGTAAGAGCCATATTGTTTCCTAAACCTCTGGGGTTTAAGTTTTATCAAGATGCTATGAGATTTATATTATTTTTGGCCGTAGTAGCTTCATGTGGTATGGTATATTCTCTGGTTATGTTGATAAGAGATGGGGTGAGTGAAATATGGCTGTTACTCAGGGCAATATTGAGTTCAAAGATTAGATCAAGAATAAATGATTGAGGAATGTCCTGCTGAGAAGTGATCAGGATTAGAGATTATGTGATTATAGTTATGATTTAGATAAATAACTAGGAGCAAGAATTGTAACATGTGTGGATCAAAATAATTCATATTAAGTATTTCAGAAGAGAAATATATTAGAATGATAATAGTTGGAATGTATTTATTGTAGGTTTCCACTGGTCAAATAGTATTACGTGTATTAGATATAATTACGATAGTTATCCCCCCTGCTCTTCCTGCTGCCATGACAGTTGGTACAGTCTATGCTCAAAGTAGATTAAAAAAGAAAGGAATATTTTGTATCAGTCCACCAAGAATTAATTTCTGTGGAAGAATTAATGCTTTCTGTTTTGACAAGGTAAATAATTTTAACTGTTGAATATTTCATAAGTTTTCAAGCCTGAATTGAAGAATTCACAAACATTAAAAATGAGTGATAAGTGAGAATGATTATGTTCCGAATTTGTTTTACTCTTGCGTTTTAACTATTTGTAATTTGTAGGAAAAGAAATAAACTTAATGTTATTATTATATCATTAAGAATACTTTAAACAAAAGTTATTTTGTATTTTACTATTAATAATCTTATTTCTAGACTGGAACTTTAACAGAAGATGGTTTAGATATGTGGGGTGTAGTTCCTGCCTTCTCTTCAAGGTAATGTCGGCTAATATTTCTTGATTTGTGGCCATGGATCTCTATCTACAATTAAACCAAACTTCAGCTAAAGATGGTCATAGGAATGTAATGAATTTTGCTGTAAATGCTATTCTCTTTCCCATTTTTTCGACATTGTTGTACCTTTCTTGACTCATACATTATATTATTAACAGGAGTTGATTAATTTATTACAGTTTTTATAGTCCAGAGAGAAATGTACATGAGATGTCTATGGGACCAACATTAATATGTATGGCAACATGTCATTCATTAACTATAATTGATGGAGAACTAACTGGTGATCCTTTAGATTTAATTATGTTTAATTCTATTAATTGGGTAAGCATTGGCTCTGATCTTGTAATTATGCTGTAGAGTATCATGACCTTTAAGCAGCACATAGTATTATACTATATAAGAAGTATTATTCTCAGTATCCTGGTAAAATTTATTAATTCTTGTAGAACAATCATCTAATGTAAAAGCAACTCTGATTTACTGACTTCTAGTCAAGATTATACCTTGAGATTTTTCTACCCCATTTCCTCCTGTCATTGATGCAGTCAGACTTGCATTTGATCATTCAGATGGGACAAAAAGCCAGGGTCATGTGTGCTACAGGATGTGCAAGAAGATTACTCGACAAAAAATCAAAAAGAGTAGGCTTATTTCCTTCATTGCACACCGCAGCATTTTGCTGTCTTCATTAGCCCAATCAGGTGCAGAAAAATAGGAGGTAAAATTTCTTTTCATTTCTGATGATCATATTCAATGACATAATTTCAGATATTAGAGGAACCTGGTGAAGACACTAGTAAATATGATACTATCATGCCAACAATAGTTAAACCTTGTCATAGAAACCATTTCTCAGATGAGGTAGGTTTACACTTTTCATGTTGTATTCATCAAAACTTTTAATAGTGCAAATAGCATGATAGTATTTAAAGGAATGTGTTTGCCATCTGATTTACCAATCTCACCTTACAATAATAGTTTAGTGAAGCTAAACAGTAATAGTGTGCACAGTTCGCCTTTCGAAATTTGATCCTTTATTTTGATATATGTTGAAAAATTGAGACGAGTCGACATCTTTTCACGATATTGTTTTTAAATTTCAGACCAAATAAACTTGTCAAGTTTCAACCGGAAAGCCTTGCAAATATATTTACTTGTTCTGAATAATACTTACTGCATTTTTATACGCCCACATCTGTCTGTGGACGTATATTGTCGGCACTCCTGTCCGTCCGTCAACATTTGCTTGTAAACGCTTTAAAAACTAGATTTTTTGATGGAATCAAATAAAAATTCAGTATGTGTATACATATTCATAAAACAAAGATTAAGTTCGAGTTTGAGCTATTTTGGACCCTTAGAAGCAGAGTTATTGCCCTTGCCCCAAAATCTTGAATATGCTATTACTCTTTTAGTTTTCAAGCGATTTTGATGAAACTTTAAATGGATGTTATTGGCAAGTTTAGTTTACTTCTGATTAAATTTAAGGCTTTTTCAAGATTTAGGCCTCTTACGTCAGTTTTGAGGAGTTATCGCCCTTTAACCACTATACAGTAAGGGCTTCTATCAACATCAATTGCTCGTAAACACTTTTGATGAAACTTAAAATGGATGTTTTTTGTTTTTACCATCCGCATGCCACGGTGGGCGTATATGGCTGTGGTCTACTATCTTATTACTATTACTATATATTGTTGTTTGTAGCCTCCATTTGAAGTTGGTATTATTCGGCAATTTACGTTTTCCTCCAGTATGCAACGTATGAGTGTTGTAACACGCTCTATGTCTAATAACTATATGGAGGTTTATTGTAAAGGAGCACCAGAAATAGTGGCTAGTTTATGTAAACCATCAACAGTTCCTGAGAACTTTCAACACATTCTACATAAATATACTGTTCAAGGCTTTAGAGTCATTGCCCTTGCTTATAAAACTTTAGAGCCTAGGATAAATTGGCATCAAGTACAAAGAGTTTCCAGGTAGGAAAACAATTTAGCTGAATTCAGACAATTCTGTAATCTTCAGTTCTTCACAGACTGGTATGTTAATTTCATTCAGTATCTAATATTTTGAAATATTTCAAGTATAAGTTAATTTATTGCCAATATAAATTTTGTTATTAATTGTGGTTTTTGCTATGATTATTTCAGAGATAAGATAGAAAAAGAGTTGATATTTTTAGGATTAATGGTGTTGCAAAATCAATTGAAACCTCAGACAACATCAGTCATCAAAACATTAAAGAAAGCTGATATTAGACCTGTTATGGTCACAGGTATGTAAAGGTCAAAGGTTAAATCTGTTATATCATATGAAAAGTAGACTTTTTATGAAATTTTCAATATAACCCCTCAGTGATCTAAATAGTTCAATTTATCAATCTTTTATGAAGTTCAAAAATTTAATGAATTAAAAAGGGATAGGTTTAACACCAGTTTGAGAAACTGGCAATTAAACAATCTAAAAAAGAAGCCATAAGATTCAGGGTAAATTAATTAGACTTGCATTAAAAGACTGGTCTGAGAGAAGTTATAACAAGATGATGTTATGTAATTTTAGGTGATATGATACAGACTGCTATCAGTGTAGCTAGAAACTGTAATATGGTTGGCCAACGTGATGAGGTTGTCATAGTAAAAGCTGTTCGACCTAGTAAAGATACTGGAGCTTATATAGAATGGGTAAATGCAGAACTTGTGGCACCTGAAGAAACTTTTGATCCTGATTCTTCTGATGTAAGTTTTTATTTTACTTTCTTTTTTATTGTTAATTTATACAATGTTTGAATACAACTAAACATTAGTCATTAACATCACATTTATAATGTCATTTAACTGAAACTTGAAAATATTTAAGAAATATTGAATAAATCATTGACGTTTAAATGAAAACAAGATATGTAAATTTGTGATGTCTATGATACAATGTATGTTGGAATTGAGTGTTGGGTTTTAAGAATGTTATGAAAATTTATTTGATTTTATGGCATGCTATTATGAACTATTATGTTGGTCAGTGTATCTTTAATCATACCAAAACATATTGAGTGAATGAAGAAAATAAATATATCCATCCCATATTGGGAAAACTACAAGTATTTATTCCAGAATTATCAAAAATATGCTTGGTAAAATATCTACATAAACCTGTTTTGCATGTCCTAAATGTAGATTTTTCACTTAGCACATTATTTAATCATTTTTGAATAAACACTTGATTTATAAGATTATTCAAGGATTCTGTTATACATAGTTATAAAGTTAAAATGTTGAATTAAAAAATCCCAAATCAAGAATACACTCTCAAGAGAGATTTCAAACAAGAATCAAAATTATGGATCTAAACCTCATACTCTCCTAGCTATACACCAGTTCTTGGCATGTACACAAAGAAAGTCATGATATATTGGCTATATATTTACAAGGTTACGTTACCGCTATGCCAAATGAATAACAAATTTCATCAGGAAAGGTTCTCGGAATGCCTTCTGTTGATTAACATCAATCCCAATTCATGATAATTTCAGAATGATAATATATCAGATGTACACAGACCACTTTTAGAGGTCAAGGTGATTATTTGCATGAAAATTTTGATTTTATTTCTTTCTTCTATATATTACTCACAACTTTCTAATATTTTTTGTCTTTTGTTTTGTTTTTCTTATCTCTTTGTTTTAACACGGTGAAATATTGATATATCATAATTTTATTTGATATGACTAAATCTTGTGTTTGGCTTTATAACAGAATACAGAATTCATAGAACTTTCTAAATGACATATTATTATGTTCATATCTGTTTTAACTTTTTGAATTCGTGCTTTGATAGAAAATGTATCTTTAATTAGTTATTGGCCATTAAAAGAAGGTAAATTACAAGGTAATTATTGGCAAAAAAAATTATATAAATTGATTGCAAAAATTTTATTGTGATAAGTAGACACAGCTTAATGGAACAATAATCATTGGTTAAAGTTTTTTCCTTAATTTCAATGTTTTTCAACAGTCACAAATTATATAATGTGCCCCAAGGACGATGGAAGAAACGTGTCAAAACGATGCATACAACCTAAATCAGTGTTAACATATTGACTTAAATGCCATTTAAAGACTTTATAGACCATTGTGTTTATGTAAAAAGTCTATATTTCTCTATGGCTAATCACTATTTTAGAATATCTAATGATTTAATAAACATTCAAAGTTTTAATTGCAATACATTGAATCTTTTTCTACACTAATTCTGCACTCTATGTATTCTGTCAGTACTGTTCTGTTTGTGTGTGTGTATTTTATGTTTGTCAATGGTTGTACTTGCTCTCTCTAGTTTATATTATTAGTAAGAGTAGTATCTTTGTCTCATATAGCTGAAAAATTTTAAGCTTTTAGATACATGTGGTATTTTAGTAGCTTTGGTGAAATTGTTATCTGCATTTGTAGATAAAGAATGATATTGGATTACAATAAATTCAAACCATGTTGGACATAGATATTACCTTAAAGGATTCTAATTAATAGTACTGATGAAATTTTGTTTTCTATCATTTGTTTACACGATGATAAAAATGCCACCAAAAAAAAAAAGGTTTAGGTATATACAAATGTCAGATTGAATGTATTTTGATTTTAACAGCAGATAGAATAAGCTATATAAACAGTATTTATAATTTGATATAATAATTGTCTTTGAGTACTATACATTTGATTTTCATCGATATTTGGAACAGTTTACTAATGATTTTTTTATCATTATGGTATTTTTTGACTGTATTTATGAAGATTATATTTGATGTTCTATATGTTTCAGTCGTATCAACCTATTAGTTTAGGTGAAGTAGATAGTAAAATACATCTAGCGATAACAGGCGAATCTTTCTCAGTTATTACACATCATTTTCCCCATCTTTTACCTAAAGTAAGTGCTAGATCTTTTAAATTTTGGTGTCAAAATTAGACATTCATTTGAAATGTATATTTTGGCCTTAAATCATAGCATATTTTAGAAATGTCTTTTGTCAACAAAAAAAACCTAAAAATGGTAGTTTAATAAGAAAATATACAGTACATCTTAATTGAAAAGTAATGGTCTTTGCAAACTTTTAATGTTTGTTCTTATGTTCTTGACGGTAACCATCATCTCTTCTTATGAAAATTTTTATAATTTTAGATTTGTACTAAAGGGACAATATTTGCTAGAATGGCCCCTGATCAAAAATATCAACTTGTAGAGACTTTACAAAAACTAGAGTAAGTTTTCAATAAATATATAAATAAACATAATTATACTAAAAGAAAAGATCTTGGTACACATCAGGGTCTAATTCAAAACATAACAACAAGAAAAAGAAACTATATAGGATTGAATTATATTGTGTTGATTGAGTTGATTACAGGGTGCTTCTTTGTGGAAACCTACATGGATGTGCACAATAACTATAACAGTGCTAAATGATTTTGTAGGGTACATTTGTTTTTTGGTACAAAAGCTGGAAAAATTGATTTTTATTGGATATTCTAAATACTTGATGTTGCTTCACAAGAGTTTAATTTGTAAGATTTTGAGTTTATTTAATCTATGTGTATATTTTGTAGCTATATAGTTGGTATGTGTGGTGATGGAGCTAATGATTGTGAGGTAAATATTGTCATTATATAAAGTATAATATATTGTTTTGATCTTGGTTAATATTCTTCTACATGGTCTCAATGGTTATTTCCTGTTAACTTTACAGATAACATAGCATTGGCCATGGATGAAGATTTCTAGTGTTCAGGATGGTCTCAATTATTTTATTATATTGTGCTAGCAAAAATTTGATATATCTTTGTGTTCTCCCTTTCCTCACCCTCTACCATGATAAATCAAAACCAGATAGTGTGTGATAATGCCATTTATTTAAAATGACGAAGGAATGAAAAAATAGCATAATAAACAAACAACAATTAAATAAACAATAAATCATAATGATTTATAAACAATATCATAAACTAGTTGGGCTTAATAAACCTACTATGCGCCAAACACATCACTGGACAAAGTGATGTCTAGCCCAACCCAAACCCTATCACACACAATCTGGGGGACGGAATCATTAATAAGAAGATGCATATATCATGAACAACATTGGCCCCCTCGTCAGACACAAGATATAACAAAAAACAAGATATTAGTAAATGAAAGATAGTTTAACAGATATAACATAATTAAAAAAAAATTACTGCAAACTACGTTACCTACAGTATAAGTTGCAAACTACTTTGTCAACATTCGAATATATAAACTGCAAACTACGTTGTCAGTACCTTAAAGCATATGCTGCAAATGACTTTGGTCTTATTAAGTTAACTTGAGAGAAGGGGTTTCTAAAGAGACAAATCGGGCAAGCGGACATATGATCTTACAGCATTACTACTCCAACGACCCATCACCCGAATTGCATCCTCAGAATGACCCTTCATAAATGCTGAAGTGGCTGCCCCAATCCTGAAAGAGTGCAATTTATAAAGATCTGTTGACAAACCGAGAAATGACACAAGCCTGCGCAAAGAATTATTAACAAACGAATATGATACAGTAGCACCATTAATAAATTGAAACAATGACCCGTTTGAATGCGGAAAATATTGAATATAATTAAACAAGGAACATGGAGCACAGGTTGCATTGACTGATTCAGAACATTGACAAGTTAAAAACAATTTTACAGGCGTGGTGGAACTTTTATGTTTGTAATGCAACAAAACAATTTCTAATGAGGAAACTTTTTTCGTTTCTTTATTGAACAAGAACTCAACATTTTCAGTTTGAAGTATATTATGATAAGTCGAGTGAGACTTGAGCACGAGCTCACCTAAACGAAAAAATCCTGCAAAGGCTAAGTTAAATATAGCAGAGAGCAAGAACCTATCAAATTGCAATGTGACAACGATTGGAATTGCACGAATTAATTGAGTCTAAATTTTTTCTGTGATTGGCAACCTCGCATCTTTTGGAGAATAGAGGCGATTGGCACCCTTTATTAACGATTTAACTAAGAAGGAATGAAGAGGTTCCGCAAAACCAAAGGAACGCTGTACATAAGAAATAACGGATGCATGTGACGCAATAGTACTTGGAGAATATCCAGACTCAAATAAAAAAGCTAAGAAATTTACTATTATAACTGCAGGAATGGGAAACCGAGGCGATAAATCACGCGTACGGCAAAAGTCTAAAAACTGGTTCCAAGAACGCAAGTAGGCTGCACGTGAAGTTACAGATAGAGAGGCTCCTATCAAATGCATAGCTATTGGACTTAAATGATCAAGAGATTCTGGTCCACTGGGTGAGGCTGGAGATCTAACCATGGAGCCCATTCTCTTGCTTCCTGAAAACGAAAACGTGACAGATGATCAGCAACTAAATTTGTTTTGCCAGGAATATGCTGAGCTTTAATAAGTATGTTAAATTTAATAGTGAACAGAACCAATCGGCGAATAAGACGCATCAGAGCAGCAGATCTAGACGTGGCATTGTTAATAACATAAAAGACACACAAATTATCAGTCAATAACTTAACTTTATGATTACGCAGCAGATGACCCCAAGTCTCAAGGGCTATCACAATCGGAAATAGTTCTAACACATTTATGCTAAACTCCCTTTGGGCTTCTGTCCATGTCCCAACAAGCCATTTAGAACCAAACACTGCAGCATAACCTTTCGTGAGGGCTGCATCAAAATAAAGTTTAATATGATCAGATTGAACCCATTCATCATTTAAGAACATACACTTGCCATTAAAGCCATCAATAAAAACATTCCAAATTTTTAGATCTAAGCGTGCTGCATTATTCAAAGTTACTTTAAAGTGGGGCTTTCTGACCCCTATAGTCAGATTATATAAACGACGCAAAAATGTGCGCCCTGGAACAACAATGGACGCAGCAAAATTTAACAATCCTATCAACGATTGCAACTCTCTTAAAGAAACTTTCCGTCTGGACATAACCGACGACAAGGCCTTAGTGATCTTAATTAATTTTTCATCAGGTAAACGACTTATCATCGCAACTGAATCAATTTCTATACCATAAATCACAATTTTAGTACAAGGATGGACAGTTTTTGAATGCTTAATAGGAATATTTAAGTATGAAGCTAAAGACATAAAGTGTGCCAAGGTGTCTGCACATAATGAGGTATTTGCAGGTCCAACAAAAAAGAAATCGTCAATCATGTGACTCATCACAGCATGCCTTTTTGATACCATGAGCCACTGGAGAGCTGAACTAAAGCGCTCGAAAGTCTGGCAGCTCATGCTCAAGCCCATAGGTAAGCACATATCAGCGAAATAGTACAACTTGTTATGTAAAGGGACCGTAAAACCTAACAACTCGTAATCATTGGGAGGAATAGGAACTATTCTATAGGCATCCTTTATATCTGCCTTTTGAGCCCCAGCTCCCATACTTTTAACTATCTCTATCACACGGTCAATAGAGTCGTAATGCACTTCGGTAAAAATTGAATCAATTCCAGAATTTATCGAATCACCCTGAGGAAAGGACAAATCATGGATTAACCTAAAAGCTCCAGTTTCATGCTTTGGAATAACTCCTAACGGGGAACAACGCAAAGCTGGAAAGGGAGGATTTTCAAACGGGCCCATTACACGACCCTCAGACAACTCAGCATTAACCTTCTTGAACAGCACATCTAAATTCGAATAACATGATGCATGGTTTTTGGACAGTGTTAAAGTCCGCTTGCCAGAAAACGGGATACGAAAACCAATCGAAAACCCTGTGTACAAAAACATTCTTTCAACCTTATCATACCCTTCTAAAACCTCATACAATCTATTTGGATACAGGGGTGTTGGCACTCTTAGTGGTGGCAGAACCTGTTTTACGAAATGAATAACGAGAAGCCTGCTGTGTCGGTTGACTACTAGATGCATTAGACGCAGGCACTGTCGTATCAGGAGAGTAAGGCACTGGAAAGATGGATGCTGAGGGATTTAGACTCTGCACACCTGTGTCCTGACTCAACGATTCAGTATCAACTTTCCTAACCTTAGCATAGCATCTATAAACCGGATGTTTGTAACCACATTTACTACAGGTATGTGCAAAACGACAAAGTTGCCTTTTACAACCCAACCGAGTATTAAACCCCCAACAAACATTGGCAACTTGGTTGCCATTGCCTTTATTGCGATTAATGGATGGAGTTTTTTGGATATGTGATCCATACAGAGTAGTAGCCCTCAGCCGAAACTCAGGGTGAATTTGGTCCCATGGGTAGTTTGATGTCTGACGAGACAGGCGGAATTGCGAATCATAGTATGCAAATGCTTTGGCTCCATACAACCGTGCCAACTCAGAGATGAGATTATTATATACCAACAAACTAGATGCCAACTGAGGACTTTTTTGTAACACAATATCCATAAAGATAGCGAAAGCTTGTTGCCATAATTCCAAATTCAAAACTCGAGGCTTTGATGTAGATGTTAATTTTAGCACTGGATCAGTGTCTGCCTCAGAAATATTCAATGAAAGTTGAGTTGGCACTGCACCTGGAAGCAAAGCACTTAAATCAACATACTTATTTATCCATATGTCTTGCTTAAGCTTCTCAGATACATGACGTGAAAGAGACATAGAAATAGAAGCACTACCTATAGATTGGCTAGTACTAGTGTTATCCTGTGGTTTAAACAGTGCAGTAGCATTCACTGAAAATACTGACTTGTCTGGCACAGTTGCAGTTTCCTTTACAGTGGTAGTTTCCGATGGGCTATCTGATGATTCCTTAGAAGCCGCCGAATCAGGAAACATACTCGCTAAACGTTCCGGATGTCCAACCAAACCTCTATCCACCAATTTCTTTTTAAGAATGTCGGTTAACCTATCTTCTGCTGTCGTCATAGGTATTTCCTTCGATTTACTTTCCTTCGATTTACCTTGACCTTTAGATGTAGATGGCAAATTATGTTCTTTATCCATTATGAAAAATTAACTTTATCTACCACCTACAAATACATTTTAAAATTATGTACATCTTGTTCACATATCAATAATATATTAAACTCTATCTTTAAGATCTGTACAGTTGTGCAAGTACAACCACAAATCATATTGCAATCTGCAACATCTGAGTGTAAGCCCTCTTAGAGATACTGGCAAACACAACATGCACATAAGAGGGTATCAACCTTTAACACCAACTGAAGTAACATGCACAAAGATACAATCAACCTCTAACGCCAGAAGTAACATGCACAAAGATACAAGTTCACCAACCAACAATGGTTTAACATGCACAAAAGGGGAAAACCCCAAACTGTTTGTTTAACAAACAGATCAGATAGATCGACCTACCAAGTCATATTGGCGAAAACATCGTAATAATGCATCCCGCAAACTGCGGAGGAATCGATTATTACCCACATCGGATAAATGTACTCCATCATGGGAGTAAATGTTGACTGTAGGCTGGAACAGTCCACACCTATGCCGCCAAAAGGTAATTTTCTCTTGTGCCATACATAACTGGTTTAAAGCCATATTCGTTATCAGAATTTTATCATTGAATCCGTCATACGGTTCTACCGACGGCTTATCACAATACAAACAATTCTGGGCCATTCATCCAAAACACGTAGGGCATAAGACACTATGTGTAACGCCACGGTGCCGGGAGTGGAATTAGGCATCGCAACATCATTAGAACCGATGTGCAGAATCAACACATCCTTGCCGAAAAAACGAGTATTTCTCACTAACAATCGACCGTGAGGATCATTATGAATCCGAAGGCCGCCATTACCCCAACATTCCACACGGCACAAATTTATATCTAAACCAAAGTTATCATGACGAAACACACGAACAAACCGTGCCAAACGCTTTGCGTAGGAAGAGCCAAAAATGGCGACTGAAATTGGACGTGAAGGAATTATTTTTGCGGAAGACGAAGTTACTAAAAACAATTGGTTCCGATCGCGAATGAAGTTACCTTCACTACTATAACCCGCCATATTTCATTATATTGATCATGAGACCCGCTAAAAAAACCTAAAAGCATCAAACAAATATCCAGCCATCGAAAGGTACCATCGACTAACAAAGCACGGTAAAATATACCTAAGATGATAATTTACTTATCTGAAGTAAAATTCTAAGCTGACACACGTTATTCCACAATAAAAAACATATATTTATTTTGTCAACCGCAACTTCAACCGAGTTTGCAATGGCGGGTTGAAGTTAAACGATGATACAACGTACCGGAAATAGATAAGATAACGGAGCAAATGAATTACACATAAACGATTGGTCAACACAAAACATATTATCTTTCAATAATATTTATTTTTGGTTCTTACTACAAAACTAATGATTTGTTATTGATAACTGAGTATTATTTAAACTTATTCTATATTGTAGGCATTAAAAGCTGCCCATGCTGGAATATCATTGTCTGAAACAGAGGCATCAGTGGCTGCACCATTTACATCTCGAGTTAATAATATAGAATGTGTTCCAATCTGTATCAGGTACTTATTTTAATCTTGAAACAATATATAATGAATAATATTTGAACACAGTTCTGGTTCCTTGTAGATCTAATTATATTGAATTTGCGTCTCTAGATAAAATGAAAAGAGACGCTGTTGCAAAGTGAGTTAGATTTTAGCTTGCTAATCTGAAGGTCTAGGGTTCAATCCTAGCTTAGCTTGAGATAACACTGTCAGTTTGTTACAACTCAGTTCACCCTATCAGTGATGAAGGTCGACGTGGAAAAAGCGTCTAGTTGTTCGGAGGCCTTCTGCATGTTAAAGGCATTTGGAAATCAAAAAGAGTAGGCTAATGCCACTAGCCTGGCAAAATTTCTCACATTGTATACTGTATGACAGTGCCCAGGTGCAGAAGACAATCTTATAAAACACTCACTGGTTTGTTTAAATGATGATTTGTCATTCTTTCTTATCTTATGATAAGTGATCTGAATGAGATTGAACTGGGTTGTAATCTGATTTCAGCAATATTTGATGTTCGTAATATATTTTCAATTATTTTTTCAGAGAAGGACGTGCTGCTTTAGTCACATCATTTGGATGTTTTAAATACATGGCTTTATATAGTTTTATACAGTTTGTTTCTGTCTTACTTTTATATTCTGTAAGTAAAACTTTCTCATTTCTATATCCATGGAGGAATTGAATTATGAAGTGAATTCTGTCAAATGTTTTTTATTGCCTTTTAGCAGTATACTTGTTCTTTATTTTCAGTATGGTGCCAACTTTTCTGATTTTGAATTCCTGTACATAGATTTGGTTATTACAACCTCTATTGCAATATTAAGTAAGTAGCTTGAATAATAGTTAGACTTTTAAACCCCAGTTTAACAGGCCACAAAAGTAAACTATTGTTTCATTATAAGTAATGTAACATAACCTGATTAAATGGCAGAAGAAATGAATGAAATGATAGAAGTAGCCCTAGACTAATGGAAGTGGCTATTCTGTGTTTAGGCATGAATGACCTTAATTTCTCTCTATTTTTAGTGGGTTATACAGCAAGTTATGGTCAACTAGTAAAACAGAAACCAGCAGGAAGTTTAATGAAATTATCTAATTTATTTTCTATTATAATACAAGTATTATTAGTTGTTGCCTTTCAACTCGGCGCTTTCTATTATTCTAAAGAACAACCTTGGTAAGTATGTGTAAATATATTTTTATGGGAAACTGTAATGTCATAAAGTTTCATGAAGCTTAATTGGCAATTTTTTCAACTGTTTAGTTTTGACGTCTCTCACAAATACAAATGTAGAAATCACATGAAAACTTGTTGGCTTTACAATATCCTTGGTCAGAAAAGTAAAAGTGAACTTTTGATGAAAAACCATTAAAGGGACACATTTGCCAACATTCTACCAATTAGTCTTAAAAGTAGGAATTTTTAACCAGGATAATCAGGAATAGTGATCACAGCTCACCATCAAAATTTGAGTTTTCAAATCCATGTGTGGATAAACTTATCTGCGTCTGAAAGTTAAAATGATGACTTGTCATTTTTTGAAACTCTGCTCTATATAGAAAAGACATAATATATAGAAAAAGAAAATTCTAGTTTGAGCTATATTTGAAGTGATTATGCGATTTTCGTGTAGTTCTAGTATTCCTAAAGACTCCTAAAGACATAATACACATATTCCATAATCACCCCCAAAAAATGCTCATTTATCCACTCAAAAATTTTTTACTGACAAAGCAACATTGCTTTCAGAGTCAGTTTGGTCATTACCATGTTATACTACTTATGGTCATTTACCATTTATTACGTCATATTTCAGGTTTGTACCAGCTCCTAAAGATGGTTCCAGTGAACATGTTTTAAGTTGGGAAAGTACTATAATATTTATTGTGTCATCCTATATGTATATAGCAGTAGCTTTCTCTTTTTCAAAGGGTCCACCATTTAGAAAACCAATATATACAAATAGTAAGTACTCATAAATTTGTAACTCTATGATCATACATAATTAATATACATAATGTAAAGTTGGTTATAAATATTTCAAAGTGGATCTATGATTATTACATGAAATTAAAAATGAAGAATTTAACTAAAATCTTTTTCAGTACCATTCCTATTAGATTTATTGATATTAGTTGGGTTTACTACTTTTCTTGTTCTGTTACCACAACAACCAATAGAAGAATTCCTAGAGGTATGGTATATTTTATTTCTTCAGATCATAATAGAATAAACCAACTTTTATCAATCAAAATTCAATAAAATTATACTAATAGCTTTCATTTAAATGATTTTAGATGAAAAAGAAATGATAAAATCAGGTATCTGTAAAGAATAAGCCTGTATCTAAGAAAGAAAGAAACTCATTTCTTTTGGGAATAATGCTTGTAATGAAATTTTGAACATGTTATATTTTAATCATTTATTATTGTACAGTATGAAAGAAAATAATTTCTAGTTGGAATAATACTTGTTACGAAATTTTGAAAAATGTATTTTAATCATGTATTATTGTAGATGAAACCATTACATGAGGTACCCTTCTTATCAAGAGGATATTTATTGATAATTGCATTTGGTTTTATTATTGCTTCTAGCTTAATAGAGGTAGGTTTCTCATAATATTTTTATTGTTGAGTTGAAATTATTCTTATTTCAAGCGAAACCTCTTGGTATTGATTTTCCCCAAGCTGTATCCTGTACATTTATTGTTGGGTATGTGACAACAGGATTTGCCAATTTTACAGTTATTTACAAAGTAGAAAGTGGAATTTTTTTTATATCAAACAGTCAAAAAGCTTGTCAATATTTATATAAGAAATAATGCTAAACTCAACATGAAATATGTCAATATTATTTATTACACCTACATTACAGTTCATTGTTTTATTTGTTGTTAGTTAAAGGGCTAAATTGTAAAAATAAATTTCTCAATAAAAAATCATTATTATTGTTGCTGGAATACATGACGTTGGTACTAAAATATATGAATGTGACAGTAAAATGCTACAAGGAATAATAATGATCATAATTATTGATATTAAACAATAAAATAATACTTGTTTATATAATACTGTAACTAGACATGTAATAATTTCTTTCTTTCAGTATCTGGTAATTGATAAATCAATATTTAAACCACTTTACAGACCACTCAAACGTAGTGAAAACAAACGCAAATATAAATTGCTAGAAAAGGAGATTGTTGATTGGCCACCAGTTGGCCAGGTGACTTATGCTAATACTCTTCGCTCGGTTGCTGTTGATATAGCAGAACAATCTGCCAGTGAATTTGAGGAAAATACATGTGATTGATCTAAATTCTGCTATGACAGTCCAGTTAGATTTTATACAGTCTATCTATGCAATTTATGAAAACCAGAGAGGCCTAACTCTAGACCATTTTACTTACATAACCCTGTTTTTTGTATGAAATGTAGTTATTTGATATAGTATCAAGAATTTTTTTGATTATCATATAAATGGGAGTTGAACAAGTTGAAGTCTTATTTTTATAAAAATTAAACAAGATCAAATCCAGATTTCTAGGATCGTGCTTTTAGAATATTTTTATAGAAATTTAATTTAGAATTTAATTTTTTTTTAATATTCAACATTGAAAAACTAGAATTTTGTCAAATGTAAATTCAAGATGGATCTGATTATGATGAAAACAACAATATTGATAGTTCAGGAAATAAAAACTGTTTTGGACTGTGATATAAATGTGTGTTCATTAAACAGTATAGTGTGGGCAATACATCAGTAGTGCTTAAGTCTGATAACAAACTACCTAGTAAACTTATACAGGAATGTTTTCCGAAATTTGTCTAAATATGTTGTGGTAGTTTATTTTGTGAGGGATTTTAAAGGTGGTTATGCTATTTTTTTTATATGATGCTATGTCAAATTTGAGTTTTTAATGAATCAATGAATCATGTAAAGTGCCTTAAAATAACATGTATTTGATTGTTTTAAGCGAATAATTTAAAATAATTTATTAAAATGTTTTTATTTTGTATATAATGGTTACAATAAACTTATTTTCGTGGTAAAGTTGTTATTCAATTCTTTCTACTAAAAATATAAAATGCTTTTGCGATCCACCTTCATGTCAATCAAGGAGACTTAAAAGAATAGCTTGTTTACTTACCTTTCATACCGTTTTTTATTAATTTTAATTGTAATATAGCTACTTCTGTTAGGGTCCAACGACAGGCCTCTTGAACGTTCCAATAACCTTTTGACCTAACTTGATTATGTCTGTTTCAACCAATCAAATTTCTACCCTCTCCAGTACTGTTAGTTTATCAGGTTAGGTCAAAAGGTTAATTTGATGAACGTTCAATAGGGCTGACGATAGACCTTAACTGAAGTGACTTTTATGAGTCTAACTTCATGGAAATTAGCTGGCTCCCGAAAAGACTTTTAATTCATCAAAGTACAAATCCAAGAAACTGCATTATTCCCTTTTGCAGAACAACTTGGAACACATAATGGTGAAACTAGCTGCTGCAATAAGGCCATAAACTCAGATAGCACTAAAATTTGTGGTAGCATTAATCTTGTGAAGAAAAGGCATAACCTAAGTTATATTGACATATTTAGAAATTCAATAGGTATCTCATGAATGATAAAATCTGAAATGTAATCAGTCTCATTGAATCATTCATTCTTGCTCTAACACTGAATAGTTAGTTTATGGTACTATTATATAATATAATAATGATGTAAATTATTTATTATAAGAATATACATGAGATGAATTTGGCAGGAATCTTCTGTACAGAGCAAACCAACAAGTTAGCACTAAAATTACACGTCTTGATTGCTTTGAATTCTGAGTTCAGTAAGATGATCTGAGGACATTGCTCAGCTTGATTTCAATTCCCAGCTTCTTTTTTTTTTTTACACCATTCCAATTAGAATTTTAACATAAATCCTGGATTACCACTAGCTGCACCTTTAGCTGCTGTTGACATATGAAAACCTAAATTATCTTCTTCACTCTGAAAATATATTCACAGAATTTATTTAGTAATGTGTTAAATACATGTACAACAATGAATGATATAGTAACTTAATATATATAAGTAAGGTTAATTGAAAACTCACAAGCAAGTAATTAATACAATCTGAAATCAGCTGAACAGACTTGAATATTTATGTTATTAATGGATGATAATTGTGTTGTCTTGTCAATGATCCAGAACACCTATATATATATAAATTGAATACAAAGAAACAAAACCTGAGCAACAATCTTACTATAGGTACGGGCACATGAGCTGTCATGGTTGGAGATCTCGCGTGTGCCCATACTTCCACGACATGATTATCGTGATGCCAACAAGATTTATAATATCAAACAAGTCTGATAATTGTCTCTGATGGTTTTATCGTCTGCGACAAAGTCGCAAACGACCGACTGGAGATTTTTGTCTCCTCGTGTGCCTGTACCAGTCGTTGAAACTCAAGACAAAACTCTAATCGGGGACAAAAGTCTCCAACCAAGACCGCTCATGTGCTCGCACCTTAAACAAAATCCAGACATAGATAATACTTACCACTAGTCTAGAGTAAGCCTTGCCACCAGATGGGGGTTTAGGAGAACTGACATGTTTTCTAGCTGATTGTTCACTTTTAGCTGGCCACGTTGGAAACATTGATGGATCAACTGGTACTGGGGATTCTGAGAAATATGTATGATTTAATCCTTCTTCAGCAGTTATTCTTCTACTTGGGCTATAAGCTAGGAATCTATTTAATAAATCTGAACCTAAATCTGATAAATATGTACCAAATCTATTTCTAATGGTATTATAGGGATATTCTGTAAAACTACATTTCTTCATACCAGGTAATTCACTAACACCAGGCCAAATCTTTTCATTGGGAGTACCTAGATCCTAAAATATAAAGCAATTGATTGTATATATCAGTCTAGACTATTTAAAAAGTTTAAAAGGACTTCACTACAGCATTTTTCTCATATGCCTACTTATCCTATCAAAGATAAAAGGTACCGGTATATGGTCATCACTCTTTACTCTTATAAATTGTATTTGTCATTACCAGTAAAACCGCTCTAACTGAGCACTGCATCAGAGAGTTTTGTGGTCGAATATTACTTGAACCTGAAACATGTTACTTCTATTATAAAATACATTTATATCGCTCGACAGTCAATGTATTGAGCACTATTTAACAATGAAAATATTTTGTTACTGTACCTTAAAAATTCTGTTCAGTTCATCGATTTCTGATTTGCCAGGCCATAATGGTTTCATGGTTAAGAATTCAGCAAATATACAACCAACAGACCACATATCTATAGCTGTAGAGTACTGTTTACAACCTAATAATAATTCTGGAGCTCGGTACCATAATGTTACTACTATAGGTGTATATTGACGTAATGGTGAACCGTATTCTCTTGCTAAACCAAAATCTCCTACCTATAAATACAAATTAACATAAATCATATTCATTAATTATTGACTGAGATACTTACAACATAGATAAACTATTTGGTGCTAAGATAAACTAAATAAATGAAGTTTAATTCTGACCTTAACAAACTTTCTTAAATAATATATAAAGTGGTAAAAAAGAAAATGTCATTGAATTAAGACTAGCATTGCTTCATACTACATGGTAGGGACAATAATGAAATTTTGACTTACTTTTAAGATACCTTTATGACTAAATAATAAATTAGATGTTTTTAAGTCACGATGTAAAATCCAGTTATCATGTAGATGATTGACAGCTCGTAGTAATTGTTTTAATAATGTCTTAGTTTCACCTAAAAACACACAAAAATTAGTCAACCCAACATCTTACATAGAGTGTTTGACTAGTATACATGGCTCTGTAAAATAATCGCTTATCAATGATAGGAATTTATAATTTCGGTTATCGAATTTCACAATAGATTAAATGTCAAAGTTGTCTCCTGAGTAACCATTAACAAGTAGTATTCTCTTCCCCATAGTTTCTCTTCAGCACATAACAATAACTAATCTATTATAACCAATCAGAGCAAGAATATACTAACTTATAGGACACAAAAAATAATGGAATTCAAAATTTTGCTTTTTATTTCATATTTACAAGGTTTTCTCAATTAAAATATTTTGATTTCAATCAAGTATTAATTGATCTTTGGTAATCGATACCAGTATGCCAAATAATTTGTCATATAAACATATAACTCATGAATCTTTCAAGTAGCATCACCAAATTGACAATTTTTCTCTGTAAAAGTTTCAAAGTATATATCCACCAAAACAACAGATTAAGCTCAAATGTTACCAGCCGTATAAAGTGCTATGTACAATCAAACACAGCAAAACATTTATCAAAATCGAGGAGAATCCTGATGGAATCTAACACAGGCAGTTTGAGAGAGTTCTCGAATGCTGTACTAAAAATCTTAATTCAATCCACCCCCCCAGTCAGTCTGCATCATTAGCATTTAGGGACACATGTCTGCAGGATGAGTGTTATTAAATTCTTAATCTATATAATGTATTATATGTTGGATGAACAGACAAGCTAATATATCAAAAGGTCTTTCTATTTATATATTTCAATTCATCTAAAATGATTGACAAGTATCAGGAGACAAGTTAGTAATGTATTAAAGGCAACTTACCAATACTAAAAGGTGATTTCATAACTTCCATTAAACTTTTTAAATCATGTTCAACATAATCCATTACTATATATATCTTATCCATATTACTACCAACAACTATCTCCTGTTATATCAGTTTAAATAAATATATTATATTTGTAATATTCTAGTAGTTACAACCCATACAGAAGCACAAAACATGCTATAATGTACCGTACTATTTTAGTGTCATCCATACATATATTCTTTTTCAACTCCTGTTTCACTGTAAACCCAATACCACTCGAAAAGTTTTAATAAGAAAAAAAGTTCAAGAAATATAATTGTGTGGGGATTTTGAGGTGTTCTACTCTTCACAATCAAATTGGGAGCAATTAGGAAACCAACACATTACAACATATCAATCAAAGGAAACTAAAATAAACATACCCTGACAGTGACAATATTTGGATGTTGGGCCTTTAACAAAGTATTTATCTCTCGTAATGATGTGATAGGGAAACCTTCTTTTTCTTTTTCCATCTTCAATCTTTTTAAAGCCACAATCTCATCATTTTTCTTATCCTTGGCTCTATATACTACACCATATGTACCTTCTTCTATTCTATTTAAACATCGAAACTCCTCTACACTGCGACATCCCTGTATAGCAGGTAAATATGGGGGTAGTTTAATCTCTTCCTCTATAGGAGAGGGGGGTGGGGAATCTGCTACATATGCTTGATTATCATCTTCAGAAACACTACCATGTTCACTTTCATTTTCGCTATGTTCATCAAATTTCGACTTGACTTTCCCTGTAATGAAAATAAGTACTAAGTATAAAATCCATTGCTATAGCAAGAAATATAAATTTAATCATTTTTTTCACCCAACTACCTAAGCCATTTCACGTCACACATGATTTTTTTTTGGCACATTTTTCAAATACAACAGAGAAATATGTTTACAGAATACATGATGTACAAAATTACTGTAGTTCTGCATAAGAAAGTTGAGCAGTATAAAAATTGTTCAACTGGTTTTTAAACTATGAATATGATTCCCAATCATTGCATGTGACTTTAATTCCCAAGACTCTATCAGATGACAGATGACAATACTATAGATTGACTGACCTGTATTATGAACTGAATGTTTGTCATCTTGATCTTCTTCTTTATTACTAGCTTCAGATTCTTCTTCCTCTTCATTACTACTCTCACTACTACTATCTATATATAATAATTATACAGTGCAGTTTTAATCCATTTCAAAATTGGAATTGGTCACCATTTATCAATAGTAATAATATAAAATTTTGGGACATCCATTTTCATGCTGGACATATTCTATAACATTCTTCTCCACAGTTTTTTATTCATATTTTTTCTTTCACTGGTATCAGCATTTGATTTTACTAAGCATTAACAGAATTACACAACAACTAACCTGATTCAGTATCAGACTCGGATTCAGTAGCAACATCTGATTCTGACTGGATCACCTCAGTTTCATGTTCAGAAGATGGTGGATCAACTTCAATTACCTCATCTTTTGGTTCTTCTGGTGTACGAGGACCCCGTTTACGAGCTAATATTCAGAGAAAACATTAATTTCTACCTATCAACCCTTAGTTCATGTATTTCAAAAAAATGTATGACCAAACTGCAGGTTTAGATTTATGAAGACAATTATCATCATAATGACTAACAACACAAAGGTTGTGTCAACCCAAACTGACTATCCACATACTTAATTACATGTTGATCATCCTGTTTAAGTTCAGTAATTAAAAGGGAAACAGACTAGAATCAATCTTTAAGCAACATCCAACACTAAATTACTTACTTTTTTCAGCTGGCTCACCATATTGTTTTCTATCATCTCGTTTGTCAGGTTGAGATTTTCTATGACTGTCTCTACTTCTACTTCTATGACGTTTCTCAGGCCGGGATTTCTCACGAGCTGTAGTAAATATTAAATACAGTCAAAGCTTTATAAATTTATATCCCTTTGAAATTAAAAGGACAGTAGGTGAAAGAGTTCAGTTAAGTCACACATCAAAATTAAGTCAAACATTTTCAAATTCACGTCCTATATCATTTACCTTGTCTTGCAGCTTGTGCCCTCTTTTCTTCCAACTTTCTTTTTTCTCTTTCTTCATTCTTTCTTTTTTCCCTTTCTTCTATTTTCCTCTGTTTTTCTTCCCTTGTTTGTCTGATTGTATCTCTTTGTTTTTCTCTTTCTTTTTCTTCTAATCTCTCCCTATAATAAAAAAAAACATTAAGAATATCAAGAATTAAAAATATTGCTTTAAGAACAAGTTTGCAAAAAAAATTATAGATGGGTATCATTTTTTTTGTCATTAGTATTAGAGGACATATATCACATACCTCTCCATTAAAGATTGTTCTCGTTTTTTGCTTTCCCTTGTCTCCCGTTCTTCTCTAGTTTCAGTAATAACTATTCTTTCTTTCTCTACCACTCTTTCTACTACAATTCTTTCAACTTGTCTTTCACGATGTTTATCACGGTTACTGTCTCTATCACGATGATCACGTTTCTCTCTATGACCTCTATCTTGACGATCTGGAAGTCTTTCTACCTGTCTATCACTTGCTCTGTCTTGTCTAGGTCTGTGTTTATCAACATGAACAGATCTCACTTCTAAAAATTTAGCCATGAGCATTTCATTAATTAGACATGGGGCTTTGTACATTATATTAGAAACAATGCAAATTAAATGAAAATTCACTCAAATATGTATGAATATAAAGATAAATACATCTTAAAATAAACTTACTATCTCGATTATGATCTCTGTCTCTTCTATCTCTATCACGGCGTTTATCATCTTTATGTTTATGTTTGTGAGATCGTTCACGTTTACCAGATTGTGTCTGGGGTGGTTTTATATCTAATGTATCATCTTCAGAATCCCTGAAATTTAGAATCAAAATAATTATATATACAGAGAAAATAAAAGGGTCTTTGAAAAAGATGTAATTGCAAAATTTGGCCAATGAAACATGTTAATTTAAATATTTTCATAGGACTTTTAAGTAATATCTAAGACTCAATACACTCAATATTCAAAACTTACCTATCAACTACTATAATGTCATCAATTGTTTCTACACGTTTTGGTGATACAGAGAATTGTCTTTCCTTCTTATATTTCGTACGAACAAATTCTGGACTGGGACTGGATTGAAGCTCTCCCTGTTCATAGGGACTTCTACTATTGTCATCAGACATCTAAATAAAAAAAAATTCAATTCTATAACTATTATCAATCAAAATTTCAAAAATTTCAATTGTGTGAAATTGAATGATTGGATCTTAGAATGTCTTTGGATCCATACAAAGGCAAGGTTTTATTTAACATAAACACACTTCCCTCTGTAAGGTGTAGCACTTAAATTTCTTAGAAGTAACTCTTGGGGCATTCCATGTCAAGTGTACAAATTTTCAGCAAAGTTTTGACACACTATCTCGGATTTATTTCTTTTTTTGTTCAAGTGGTTGTACCCATACTAAAAGATTATGCAACCAATTTTCAGACCTTTGGGTCAACTGGGGTCTGATTTATGGTCCCCCAAAATTTGGGCTCCCCATGCTGGGTACCAATCTTTCGGATGCCATATCTCAGAATGTAGTAGTCCGTTTTTAATGATATTATGCTCGTAAATGGGAAAATGGGAAAGTGAAAATTTTTCAAAATTGAGAAAGAAAAAAGTTATAATTAAGGGCGCCCTTTGACTTTGAGCCCAAGTGGGCCTAAAAGGTCTGAAAATTGGCATAATGAGTTACGGCACCTATGTGAATAAATGGTCAAAATATGTCAAGAAAATGAGATATAAGTGTCAGGAGGGTGCATGCCTTTTTCTCTGACAGGGTACAATTTAGATTGGAAAATTTGAGGAGCAATTTATCACACTAAATTCTAGTTTTGGCTAATCAAGTTAACTTTTGATTCCCATTTCTTAAAAATTTGTTAACCTTCAAATATACAATTTGATTTGATTCGATTAAGTATTATATTGGATAGAACAAGGGGTTATTTGGAATCACAATCCCTGCTCTCTGATCTGATAATGTAGCTGAAAGACAGTCTTAGGCAAATGACACACAATTGAAGCTTATTTGTCTTTAAATACAGTGATGTGAGCTTACTCTCTGGCCACATTGAGTTCTAAATTGAATTTTTTCTCTCATGTTACAAATATTCAAGATATGATTTTCAAGTGCATACCTATTGTCTTTGCCTTTGGGTCCATGAATATACAGTCAAGTAACCTAATTTCGTGGAAACCTATTTTTCGTGGATTTCCCGAAAGGATTAATAATTTACATGTGCGACCTCGCGTGACCTCGGCATTTGCTTGTTTTAATAAACAGGGGTTTTCTGTACAATATCAGCTAGTAGAATGATTTCAGTAGTTTCAAGCAAGGTAAAATTATTAATGTATACTTTGACAAATACAAAATGGCGGATTTCACTTATTACCAAACATCACCATTTTTTATCGGCCGAATTTCCTTATAATCCCAAGCAGTAATCAGAATCCCAAGTGTCGTCTGCTAGAATGCAGTCCAACGAATGAAGTCACATGATCAACTAGCGGATTCCGTGTAAGCTGAAAATTTCTATGGAACACAAAGTGGGCCATATCCTTATGTTGTTTCAGTGACTTTTAGCAATAAATCACGCTACGTATCATATTTTGTCAGTCACTATTTTTTTTTTCTTTAAAGGAATTGTCACTTGTTATAATGAATTGATATTAAAGATAAATATTAAGAGAAGTTAATTATACCCCCCCGGTATCCATACAACGTGTTTTTCTAGACTTATTTATAGATCAAACATTGTACACGAAAATAGGTGATGCATTCTGCCGTGTTGCCGAGTTGGTTGCTCATGAAATATGGGTCAAAGTGAAGGATTCATAAAGAAAATCGAAATAAACCATTTTTAATTATTTTGTAGAATATCTGAGGAAACATCTAAGACATAAAAAAAAGAAATTTGTTTTTTTACTTTGACGAAATTCGGTATTAAATCCTTATATCCACGAAAATAGGTTATACCACTGTATAAGTTTTGAAAATTTTGAACTTGAAATGAACACACTTCTCTCCAAGAAATTTCATGTGAAAATGACATTTTGATCGAACTGAAAATCTCCCTCTGTAAAATCATAGTTTCAAATAATTTTGTTTTCAATGGTTGGCATTTTCATCAATTTAACATTCATTGCTATTTGAAGTAACCGGGGAAAAACAAACCCTTTGTATGTAAAAGAATGATTAAATATATCAAAACGCTTTCAAAACTAGTAATCCGGAAATGGCGTTTTTTCTTCCCCACTATTATTAGAAACTAAGCAAGGGGAAGTAATCCATTTACTATCTGAACTTCAGCTCACAACTAAATAATTATGCCAATTTTTTTTTATATCTGCATCCACAAAAAAGTAGGCATATTCTGTGACATATATATATTAAGCAATAACATTGAGGCTTGATACACAGCACATAAACCATACACCAATAAAACTAAGGCGTCCCTACTCAGGTTTGATTTTATTGAGCATGCTAAGGATAGCTTATTCATCATGACATATTTGTGTGGTCTCCTCCTACTGCATGCAATTATATTGCTATAATAAAGTAATACCAAAATCTTATGTAAGCAGCTCTTTAGCATATTTAAGGTAAAGGCCTAGCACAATGTAAATTAATACCATCATATTAGACCCATCGTGTCCAAACCAACCCCATTCGTCATATTTCCTCAGGGCCGTGGTAACACAAGTGGGAAAAATTACGTTTTCATGGCTAAATATTGTCCAATCAAAATTGGCCTTACTGTATTGGTAGCAAATTTCAGCCAATCAAAGAAATCACTAATTATGATGTTTTGTTTGCTAACGTAAACAAAACGAAAGCAGCGTGCCATTACTTATTTTGATGAATATGTACGGTACAGAATTGAGTAAGATTTTTGTTAAAGAATTGAAGCCAAGAGAAAAACAAACCTTTGGACTATTTGCTTGGCAAGAATGTGTTGTATTTTGTTTACATGACCTCATTTCTGTTCTACCTATCTGATTGGTCAGATTTAAATGCCACCAATATCATTTCCACGCCCCCAAAACGAAGCGTATTAGGCTTTGTTTAATACGGGTTAATAAGACCATGTCAAAACCCGTATTCGTGATATAATGTATTAGACCATGCAAGACACACAATTATTTGATGCACCTTTCTTTCTCATATTTACAGACGTATGGACAAAAGACATTGGATTAAAAACAGAGTAGGCCTGTATTATTGTTGAATATATCTCATCAATGATATAAACAAACATGTTACATATAATATTTATTGCAATAAAATGATATTATTTACATTAAAACATACAAATGTTGCACACCTCTATCCACCTTAATAAATTTGACCTGTTTTACTTAAAGATGTAACATCAAGCCTACAGGATAATATAAAGTTTGCTTCACAATGTTATTTTTAATAATTTGGTTTAGAAACAGCATGGGCAATGACTGTCTTGTTATAAATGGTGTGTGAATATAAAATGAAGTAACAGGTAATGTTAACTGTAATACTTCAGTCAAAGGATTAGCAATGATATCGTCTTGTATATTTTAGTCAGCAATAAATAGCATTAGCAAAATACAATAGATTAATTTCAATCTTAAATATGGATACTATATAAATGTAGAATAGCATTCTTATTTAAAATATGAATTGAAACAATTAAATCTTTGAATAAAAATAATATTAGATATGTGTGGAATTTTAACATAGAATAACAACTTCCTTATTAGCAAATTAACATTAATTATAATTAATTAACAATTTTTATAAGCACTGCTTATTACAAAAAATACATTACTTTATGACATGATTTAAAATAACATGTCACTTTATTCAAGATAGTTATTCTTTGATATTTATGCATATTCATGAATGTAAAAACATTTTTTATCACATAGGGTTAATGTGTTCTTATACCATGCATGATTTCTACTTTATAACAAATTTGCATAAACATAATTGAATTAACCATCTTTGATAGAAAAGGCACAATCAACACAACCAAAAACAGAGAAGCCCATTTATCGAAAATACGAGCAAAAAAAGAAATGAAAAAATTAGTACAACGGAATTATATTTCATGTAAAACATTGCACATTTTTCATTCAAGAAATATATTTTATTCCAATCTAAATTTAAATAAAGGAGCAACTATTTGAATAGTTTCAACAATTTGTGCCACCAGGCAACACAACTTTTATTTCAAAGCTTAAAATCATCAATATATCAGTTCTAACAAAATTGTGAATTTCCGGATGGACCAATTCATCCTGTTTAGCACTAAAAACAACAAAAAAAGTTTTTTGATTTAGAAAGATATGATTTTGGATATGAAATTGAAAAAAAAAATCCAAAGTGCTTTGGTTTGCAACATCTTTTTTGAATTGTTTGTTAAAAGAACACTACATAAAGGCAGGTCATCTTTATAAACAACATTAAAAATTCAAAGCTATTTACATTATATTGTGTAGAGGTACAACATAACAGACTTTAAGAATACACAGTTACCATTAGTTCAAGCCAATAACTTAAGAATCCTTTAAGTAAGTTAACAGAATTGGAACTTTCACAAATTGATTAAATTAAGAAACTGAGGTCTATTTGTCTATTTCTTTCTAAAGTAATTTTACACATCAATACAATATATAAAACTTTTAAAGATATTACGTATAATATTAAGAGATTCGTAATAAAGGCAAAAATACTTGGTTAAAATCACAAGAAAGATCCAAATCTGGATGTTCATAAACATGCTAAAAGATAATAAATGTTTTATATATATATACAATAAGTCATCCCAAATTGAAATAGACTTCTTGGTGATTTATATTTGACATCAAGGTAATATAGTCTTACTGGTGTATACTTGCAAAATGCATATCAAAAGCCCAACACAAAATATGTGATTATACTGATTCTTAATATACAAGACAAATGATGCAAAATATAATATCATTTTCTAATCAATTCTACAACTTATTATTTGTTAGAAATATCAACTTAAAATCATGGAATCCAGCAGGAATTCTATTCTAGGGAATGTTAAATAGAAATAAACAATTTGACAATATAGGGTAACAAAATATTTGGCCTTCATGAAATTTCTGAAATACAAATTACATTTCTTACTTTATGAAATTCTTACACTGATATATCACACCACAAGCACTTGTATTCATAGGAAAAGCTCACAACACATGTTTACAATAAACATCAAGTAATTATATAATATACACTGTCATTTTTTTAAAAGTACCGGTTTCCATTTTTGTTGTGACATCTTCAATATACTAGCAAACAGGTGCCCAATTAAACCTGAATGTTCTGGAACTGTTTTGGGAAAACTCAATAAAGAAAACTGTTTGTTACACACAATCTTCCATCGACATCAATAAAGGATTCACATACTCAAACCCTTCAAATTCTGACTGGTCTATTTTATCAATTACTTTGCTGTAAAATAAAATTAGATGACCAACATTTAGTAAATGCAATGAAGACAAATTTTAGATTTTACTTTTCTAAACAATATTGAGGTGACAAAGTGGGTACACAATGACAGAAACAATTCAGATGATTAAAACAACTAGCAGTTGGTTCAGTTCCAACAACATACACTAAATTATAATAAGTCAAAAAATGCTAGATTACAGAGCACCACATTACCCCCAAAAATTCAAGTTGCCACTACTTTTATGTTGACTAATAAAATGAACTTACGGATCATCTGGAGTTAAAACAACTGGTTCATTAGTAAAAGCAGGATCGAAATGTTCTAGATCTCTATCATTACGTATAGTAGGTTTATATGGTGGTGCTATTTGTTTCTGTGATAAAAGTTCCCAGTTGATAGATCTATAGAATGAGTGAGATTTAATATCTTCAAACCCAGTACCAGGATGACAACCTAATCTCTCTACTGGATTCTATAAAAATACAAGAGAAGGAAAATAAAAAACAGACATGAAAAGGTACACTAAAGATTCTGGATGATCAAGCAAAGGCTTAATCCATCAGTCATATCTACATGTATATGACCAATGGTCCTGTTAATTTGATGACACACCATTAGTATAGTCAAAACATTCAAGTAATGAATGAAGTCTGATCTAGAATATGATGCACGAAATGTTCCATTTGTTAAACATTCTATCAAAATGGGACAGAAAGAATTTTGATATGTGTTTACCTTGTTAAGGAATCCTTTAAGTATTGAGGCAGCTTTCACTGATAAAGACCTTGGTATTCTGATAGTCTTCTCTAAGATTACTGTAATGAAATAATAATAAATGTTAATTTGCTTTCTTGCTTTGCTTACATAAGTAAGGAAAACTTAACCACAATAAGCCTTTTGGTAATAGATTTTTAATCAAGAACAGGTCATGTTTGGTCAGAAAAACATGAGCTCTTATTGAAAATTCTACCTGTATAAAATGCTGTAAAATAATATGAGCAGTATTCACAATCAACTAACCGTGAAATGGAAAAATAACTGATAGTGTGTACGTCTTAGAATGGGATCAGTTGACAAAATCAGATAGTTATATTCTAAATAAACTAAATATTGAATCAAAGAATAGTCAGATACATAAAAGTTCTATGAAAATTTTGTATATTTCAGTAGAAAATTACATGTAACTCAATATCATAGAATACTTACTCTGAAATAAGTAGTCTTCTGTATTTTGATCAGGATTATCAGCATTTCCTACCACATCAAACGGTGATCTACCAGCCAACATTTCAAACATTAATACACCTAATGCCCACCAATCAACACTAAAATCTACAAAACATACTCACAACTATTATTGGATTATCAAGGTATAACAGTATATATTATTCTCACAGTATAATCATTTGTGTTTTTATCCATATCAGGGTTATACAGGATTCATTGAATATTATTCTCAAACATTTTTGGTCATCACTAGACATCAACTGATCAATTGCAGAACAAGAAGTATACAACAAACATTAAACTTTCATATAAAACATTAAAACTTTAATAAAATTGACTTATTGTAACCTTTCAATAATTATAATGTAGACTTAAAATATCAGGAATTAAAAAATACCAAATTGCAATTTAATTTTAATTAATTTCAAAAGCAATATCACAGAAAAAATGGAAATGTAATTTGCCAGATTTTTGTTATAATGTTTATGTCTATTTTTTTATAAAATGAAATTTGTATTTATTAAAGTGTGAATGTTTGAGTATATTTAGCAACACAATGGTAATTCAAGAGCATCAGCATGATCATTTCATTGAATTTGATCCTAAGAAGCAGATACTTAACAAATTTTAATGCTAATGGCTTAATATATGTTAAAACAACAAACTTTTCACTTGGCAATATAGATAGCAAACATATAGGTAGTTTCTTTCATGTTCAAAGGTGGATATCTAATAATTCTCTCAATAAGCCTATTTTAAATAATAGAAACATTTTATCTAAAAATAAATAAATAAGTCCCATTATACCAACAAGCAATTCAATTGACATACTACATGTATTCTACTATATATAAATATATATAAATTTGTTCTGTCAACTACATAATCTTTCATAAAATAAAAAAAAGTTAAAAATAGTGTTTAAACTAAAAGCAAGGAATTAAGAACAGTAATAACTTTAATTTTGTTTGCATTTTAAGCAATATTATTTTATGAAAGATTATTCATTTCTATTCTAAGGTACCATAATCTTCTCCACGCAGTACTTCTGGAGCTATATAGTTTGGTGTACCACAGAATGTATTTGTCTTATCACCCTCAAATAGACCTTCCTATATAAACAGAAATAAAAAACAAACCCATCATCTACTGTGTACTCACTCACTTGTGATCGTGATGAGGATGATCCATGATTATGATCCATGATAATGATGATCATGATTATGACGATTATGAGAAAGAGAAATGTGTTATTCTTGTGATGGACTAGTGCCAGCAAATAGTGAATTGTGAAACTGAAACTAAATACCTGAAACTAAAAAGTTAGTAGGCCATGCAAATGTTAGAAAATGAAAAAGTACTAAAAATTTTCTCTGAACTGACAAAATACTTATTATAGAAAAACTTACCAGACCAAAAATTTTATTTCATAATTTATGTGTTTGTTTGTTTTTTTTTCAAAAATATCTTTAACATAGTCAACTTAATCTATCTTTATAAAGATGGGTTTCCTGATTTTTTTAGTGTCAAATTAAGCAAACTATTTGACAAATTGGTGTTTTTAATGAATTATCATATATTCTTAATCATATCTTTATGTTCTTATTGTATATAATTAAGAGTTTTAACCAATCAGAAATGCTCATGTATGTACAGTCTGGATAAACAAAAAAAGACCTTTTGACCTTTATTGATCGGTCACTCTTTGGAATTCTGTTGGTAATTCTCTTCTAATTTAGCTAATTATGAATTAATTATGGACATATGAGACAAACTGGTGTTTTTCAAAGTCATTAGAATACCTCTACTTTCTATTCATATATTTATTAGCATTTTCATTTTTATAAATAAAAATAAGGGAACCCATCTTTAATGCTCTTCTTTTTCCAGTCCTTTAGAGAAAATTTTCCAACGCAACTAGCACCAAAATAAAATTCTAACTAATTATAAGGCATGCAGAGTTATCCTTTCTTGACATACCATAATCTTCACCACGCAGTATCTCAGGGGCAATATAGTTGGGGGTACCACAAAATGTACCAGTTGTTTCTCCATTACCAAGTCCTTCCTATAGTGTGATATGATAAAATATTGTATGGGTTATAAGGCAGATGATGCATGAATAATATTCATCATGGTGTTGAGCTAAAATCTCAGATAATACAAGCTATTTATATCTAACAGTGAACAAATTTCAAAACTTTTTAGATTTTCGGAAAACATTGGAACATGTTAAAAAGATTTATAAATGCTTCAGAGATTTGTTTTTTCAATATTAAAGGGTTATTATCACTAATAGATTAAAAATAAGTTAAAAATTAAAAAATCTCAAAAATGCAATGGTTATCACATAAATCAGAAAAATACTTTTCTAAAGTTTGTTATTGTTTATAAAGAAAATTTGAAGAAGCAATACTCTTAGTGTTATAACAATATTCATCTAATAATTTCAATAAATCATTAATAGCAAGAATAATACTACTTTAAAATCATTAATTATTAAAATGATAAAATACTGCATGAATAATAATCATTATTTGTTGAGGCATAATGAGTGTATTTAAAGCAATAAATAATGATATTTTTTCATGAACTGATAAAGGTGTATGGTGATGCTTTAATATGAATGATTGGTTCAGCTGTTAAAAAATACATTTCATTTATTCCAATTTAGTTTCATAAATAAATTGCGCTTTTACTAGTAAAATACTGAATTTAACTAAACAAATAGGAAAACAGTACCAGTGCATTATGGCATAAATTGATGTAAAAACACAAACATCAATCAATTTCCACTAAGGTTTTTTTTTTTCAGATCATTTGAAAATAAATCACTTATTGTGGCTGTCTTTTCCATACCATAGGAGTAAAACAAAAGTGTACCTACCTTACACATTCCATAATCAGTGAGTTTAATATGACCTTCCGAATCTAATAAGACATTATCTAATTTTAAATCACGATACACAATACCTGTAATAACACAATCAAACAATCAGAATAACAATGATCAACCGAGTATAGTATAAATCTCAAAACACAATTATATGTTCTTATAAATGACAATTTCTCAAAAATGAGATAATAAAACCTGTCAAAGAACTACAATCTAGACATTGAAGCACAGAAAATTACAAACATGGGATAGATATTTTTCAACACTTAAGAGATCAAAATATTCAACAAAGCTACGAAGACCTATCTGTATTGATTCAATAATTTGAATAGCAGAAATACCTTTTGCTCCAGATAGAAAGAATTTTTTATTATTTTTACATAGTTAATACCTCTTTCGTGTAAGAAATTTAATGCAAGACAGATTTCAGCAGCATAAAATCTAGCATGTTCTTCTGGAAGCCTTCTTTGTCTCTGCATGTGAAACATCAAATCACCACCATTGACAAATTCTATCACGAAAAATAATCTGAAAATAAACAGAACTAAGTAAAAAAAGCATCCGAAAATTATCAAACCCTGTCTCATGACAAGCAGGACAGAGAGTGGCAATTACTATGGGTAAATATTGTCAAATATTAAAATGAAAGGCTTAGTGATTTAGTTTTAGTGGTGATTTTTACACCTACCTGCTAGCAGTCATAAAACAGGAATGTAAACCAACAAGGAAAGGATAATTTGTAGCTGTTTCAAATACATGTTTCTCTGTTTGTACCCAATCTATATCCTATTGAAAACAGATAACATGTTAAAAATTAAGTCACTAGTTTCATCACTTATCCATTACCTATGGATATATTGTAAATTATATCCTATTGAGCAAAATGAACCTCAGTTAAATTGTGCCGTCAAAAGGTTCTTTGTGGCAAAAAATAGTCAGCTATCAAACTTTGAAGATAGTGTCCCAACTCTTCAATTTGTATATTGAAAAATCAAAAAAATATTTTCCAAATATCAATGTCACAATAAATACTACCACAATAAATACTATCACAATAAATCAACACAAACCTCATCATCATTAACTAACTCTTTTTTGATGACTTTCATAGCATAGATTCTCTTGGTTTTCTTATGTTCTACCTGTAGTACTTTGGCATAACTTCCTCTGCCAATAACACGTAACATTTCAAAATCATCTAAAGATATCTGTCTCTCATCACCAGTTGTCTATATAAACATATAACATCATCATTATTAATATAGAGATATTACACAACACATGTACTTAACTACTTAATACATTATTTCTTAATATTTGCGATGTAGATTTTCAGAGTTGAGAAAAATGGAGTACTTCTCTGTTCTTCAATGGGCTAATGAAGACAAGCTTGGTGTACAATGACATTTTGCCAGGCCAGGGACACAGTTTTTCAGTTGTTGCATGACTGACCTGCATTGTGGACTAACACAACAAAAGTGGAAATCCAAAGGTTCTATCACAAACTAAACAATAGAACCTCTGACATCAAGCTTTGTAACCACCTGAACTCACTGAACAAACAAAGTTATAAGTTTGGTCATTTCAAATCAAAGCTCTATGGAATAAATAATGATTTTTAGATATAAATGCTTACCTCAATAGGTATGACCTGAAAAAAAAAAAAAATGGTTATTAATTAAGAGTTGAAATTGTACATATGAAACAGAAATTTTTTAAATAATTGTGATCTAATAAATAAATAAATTTTTAACGTCATTTTATTTCTATGGTATATTTCTTATAAAATTACACTGATAATTTAGTATAGTCAAAAAGACAAATTTGTGCACAAAATGCCCAATTAGAATTGTACTGTCTTGTAAATAGAAAGTCCATTACAATTCATCTTATCTCAAAAAAAAAAAAGATAAATTGGTCATCTGTATGTGTTCAGCTGTGCCCAAATTTTTGATTGGACTAAACTTATAGTATTCAAACCAAATACAACACCAAAAGCAGACCTTGACTAAATTGAATTGAACAAATTAAATAAGATATCTGAAGAGAATAAGAATTTCTCAGTCTTTATAAAATTAATAAATTAACTAAACTATACATGCTGTAAATGTCAACTTATATGCAGACAATTGGAGAAATATTTCATTGTTCAAATTTGATCTAAAATGCTTCAAGCCATTACATCATTGCTATACAAGAGTTTGCTTTACATATTTTTATCTTAATTGTAATCTTATTGTCATGCCAAATTGAACATGCAAAGAACTTTTCTGACATATTAAGGGACACAAAATTAACCCTGATCATATTTTGATTCATTTATGAATAGGATTGAATAACATCATAGTAAAAAAATTTGTAAAAATATGAATGAAAATAAGTCTTAGATATATAAACATGGAATCCTATTTTAAAAGTTCATACACAAGAACCCACCAAAAAATAAGACTAAATAGAAAATAAAAATGCAACAACACCAATAATATAATACCAATCTGAACAAATACAGCTCTAGATATTTTCTTTCAAATCTTTTCTGACATATACCTTCTAGGTTTAAACAGTGTTTAGAAAAAAAATTAAAAATAAATCAAATAATCAGAAACACTGCTTTAAAATGGAATAGTCCATGATACAAGTTGTGAAAATATAAGAATCCTGTATGTTTGATCAGATTGAATAATAAATATATATATCTATACCTCTCCATCACTATTATCCTCTATTAATGCTTCCTATCGTATAAATTGATATCATTTACTATCAAATAACAATAGAGATTGAATTTACATCATCTCCATAAGATACATTCCACACAATCAATCTAGTTTTCATATTAAAATTCTTAGAAGTCAAGTCAGCCCTTACTGGAGTAATATATTTATATTTCAAATATTTGTGATATTGCCAACACTGAAATTGATTACAAATAAATCTGATAGTAAAACAATATTTTACCTCTTGACTTTTATCATATACAACTTGAGATGGTCTACTAACTGTAAATAAATATAAATAAAATCAATAAAATCTAAGTTTTATGCAAATTGAATGGAAAACCCACCTTTCTTTGGTCTATATAATAGAACTTATGATAAATAGGAAGATATATTTTTTTATAACTCAAATGTGAGATAAGCCTATGGTAGGAAAAACAAATTAGGATCTACGCCTTTTAAGACAACTAAAAAATCCTTATTATCCTTATTATTATTTTACTGTTTTTGACGGATAACAATCTAAATTTCAAAATTTTCTTCTTAACTTACCTGGTTTTGACTCTCCATTTGTTTGTGATAATCCTCCTTCTCTAATAGGTGGGAAGTTTTCAGTGTTTTCAGGGTGTTTACCACAAGGTGTGTGTATCTGTTTATGACAGCGTTTATGTACTAATAATTTACACTGTATACATTTAAAACCTTGTCTACCTAGACCCCAAATACGATCTGTACATAACTGACAAAATGCTTTCTGAAATACAAAATTTTACAGTACAATATTTTATATCAATACATTAAATCCATGTTACCATCACAAGAATCTACTGGACTTTACTTTATGTTTTTAAGATAATCATTAATATATAATGTTTCCAAAATGGTTAACATTAAAAACATCATATTGTTGCTGATATATATTTTGGTACTTTCTTACGATTTAGCATTTCATGATTTTAATAGTAAGAGCATACCCTTGAAAATCGTTTCGGTTGAAATAAATGTCCATTGACTCTATATAATTTTCTCCATCTTCTGGCTCCCCTTCTGTACATATTTCCTGAAATAAGTTCACAATATAATGCTATAATAAGTAGATACTAGAGCCACACGTGGCACAGAGTGGGACTTTGCAAATGTAGCAAATTACAAAAGACTCTGAAAAAAATCAAACTTCTACGATAATTACGTCACGCGCAAGAACAGTTTAAAGTTGAGAAGTTTTAATTCTTTGGAAGATTGTTATACCGGAAGTAGACAGACCTCACAAATGAAAGTATCAGAAGATAGCCAAGGCCAATGACCTTTGGCATTGAAAAGGAGACAGTCAACAAAAGTCAAGGTTACGAGATACAAGTTATCAAAATTTGAGTATATATATGAATATAAAACCGGAAGTTGAGATAGGACAGCAAATATAAAAGTATAAATAGATAGCCAATGTCAATGACCTTCGATCGTACAAAAGTCAAGGTCAAATAAGGTCAAGGTCAATAATTGAAAATTTTGAATTTTCAAAACATGTTCCTTTTTTTGAACTATTCAGCTGAAGAAATCGAACTTCTAAGACAAAGTGGCTCAAAAGATGAAGTAATTGTATGCAAAGTTTCGTTTTGAACAGATGTGGACTTTTCGAGTTATGCCCCTGGCCGAAAAAATCAATAATGAGTAATTTAACCCGGATGTGCCACTCCCACCTCATTTTTTTGGCATGACTTAATTGATATTCTGAATGTTATGTTGTGTTCCAAATTTAAAGCTTCTGCATCATACACGTCAAAAGATATAGGTCAATAAACGTAAATAAAGGTCAAAATCGAAAATTGAAAATATGGAAATTTTAAAACCCGTTTCTTTTTTGGAACTATAAAGACGAAACAACTGAGCTGTTAACACAAACTGGCCAAATCATGAGGTAATTGTGCAAGAATTTCAACTTTGCTTCAAAAAAACGATTGTTAAATATCAATGAAAAGTGCATGAGAGGCACATTAGAAAACCGAAAAAATTAACCCTCTAGGTTAATTAGGTCATGTGCTAGAGCAGTCCAAAGTTGCGAATTTGACTGTTTTCGGATACCTTCTTTGCTCAAAATTTTTTAGATTAATCAGACAAAAAGCTAACAATTCGGCCAAAAAATGTGTGCGACAAATGTATGATTTTTGGTTCTTTTAAACTGCTATCATGTCAGAAATAACATGCAGATTTCAGACTTTTAGAGCCGATTATTCACTTTTTGCACATGTTGAGCTGTAGAAACTTCTGGTTTTGCAAAAATGTTCCAATTAAATTCATTAACAACGTTGCCACTACAGAAGGTCTACAAATGTAGAAATGTTGCTGCAGCTGTTGCAGCCTTTGCTTGAAAAGGTGTGGAAGAATCGAAAAGAAAATAAAAAATAAAAAAAGGGATTGACATTTCGATAATAAACTATAAATTGCTTGAACTTTCTAATAACCCATAGATCATTCCAGATTTTCATTTTTTGTATGAGCAGTGCCATAAGACAATATATCATTCTTGAATTCAATTAATACACAGACATATTCCCCTAATTTTAAGACACTTAATATAATCAAATGTATTTTATACTTACTGTCTTCTCCAACACATGGCATTCCAGGTCTTTCAGGTACATTAGGGAAAACTGAAAAATAATTAAATATTTCTTGAAAATAACATCAGATTTGAAATGACTTTTTCAAAATTGGACAGATTCTCTACAAAATGTCACACTGATTAATTATATACAGACCAAACATGGTCACTAATAAGCACCCCCACAAAACACTTGTTCTCTTTAATTCTTACTTTGACTCAAATATTCAAATAAAAGTATAAATCATAATATACACAAAATGATAACACATACCATGAATAGTGATTTCTGAATCTTTATTGACTTCATACAATCTAATAGCTTCATCTAACTCTATCTGCGATGACAATGTACATGGATCTCCTGAAACATACAAAAAATGATTTCGAGTAGAAAAAATAATATTTCTGCAGCTAACCTTGGCTAGATATATGTACACTGGGAAGCGTCTACTTCAATGTAAGATTACGAGCGGGCCTGACAGAGTTCAGACGGACTGGCGCTACAGGTTCTAACAGACCAAAGGTTTTTATACCAGTTGTGGGGTCAGTGTAATGAGTGTATCTCATTTTAGTCGCTGTGAATCAGTGTACTGGTTCCACAACTGGAATAAAACTATTGTCTCAATGAATCCGTGCTCATGAATATTAATAAGCTTGAAGCCGATTGACAGGCAAGAAGAAACAAACAGCCAATTAGAGGAGAGTTAATAAAAAGTAATACGATCTTTATAACTGTTTTCATCCTAAGCAACTCGTACCGGATTGAAATAATAAAAATAATAACAAACCTCATTAAAACACTAGAACATGCTTTAAAAACACTGTGTTACATTTCCTCAATACAATAAAAATAATAACAAAACTCATTAAAACACTAGAACATGCTTTAAAAACACTGTGTTACATTTCCGCAATACAATAAAAATAATAACAAGATTCAACGAACCGTGGCGCATGCCGAACGTCTGATAATGATTACAGTGCTTATTTGTTTAACCTGATTAACATAACAGTGCACACGGCGGCTGTCGACAAACTAAGACCATGTGACGAGATTATCCAGAACGAGTAATTAGTTCAACTTATATCAAAAAAGAGGCTTGATAATCTTGGCCACAATTCTTGCAACTCGTAAGTGTTTTGATAATTGATACCCTATCTTGATTCATTAATCTCAATTATTCAATCAATAAAGATGTTTATTTACTAAAGAAAACAGCTTAAAGACTCATACAGTGACGAATTTTCTGTCAAAATTGCTTTCTTTTTACTTCTTATAAAATTGACGGTTAACCGAATATCTCAAATCAGATCCGGTAACCCGTGAAATACTACCCGAAATCGGTTAACTAATCCACACTAAATATTTCACATATGACTTGTCATGAAAAGTGAGAATCCAGTCTGTTATCCATAAAATAAGCTTAAAAATTGTAAGTAGTATGATGTCACTATAATAAACCAGCTACTTTCCAACCACAGCACAATAACCATAAATTATATCTCAGTCTAAGTCTCAGTACTGCAATGGAAGTAATTTCATCTTACCTTCCTCATCAAGCCACTTCACAGTGAATGGTTGCAGCTCATCAAATTTACAAATATCTTTTATTTCTGTGCAAAATTTACCATAACTTATATCTGTACCAATACTTGTAACAAGAATATCACTGAAATAATCAAATTGGTAAATTTTGATTCTTAGTACTTTCTAATATTGGTATTGGTAAAACTAACTATAACATTTAAATTTCCTCAAAGATTTTTAAAATGTATGGTATTTGACTAACCAATGGTTCATGGAACAATATTTACCTGTATAAGGTAAAATATTATGGAAATATGTGTCTGACCATAATTGATCATCTTTTGGATTCTCCATATTCAATTGATGAATACAAAGTAATTGTTCATTTATGGGCCTTCTGGTATGATATATAGCATATATACAAGGTAGTTTTAAAAAAAATATATATAATTTATTGAAAGATTGAAGAATAAATGAAACTACCACATCTCATTAATCATGTTGAAGCTGCTATATGCATTACTTTTCAGTATGAAACATATGATATCCCGTTTGTCTACTATTAAATAAAATCTTTCAAAAGCAGATGATGCTGATGATAACATCACTAATTCTGTTGTTATTCAGTTGTTCATAAAAAAAAAATGAATGTCATAGTTTTATGCTGAAGAAACCTATGGATATGTGTAAATTAGATCCATGAATCAGCTCAGAAAGCAAATATTCATCATTATTATAATATTTTATGACTAGCTCCTTCAAAACATTAATATATACACACCCATTAAATCCTACTTTAATTCTAATACCAGTATTGTCAGCTGGCTCTTGTGTAGGCATAGTTGAAGCTTATAGTCTGAAAAATATCATATCTATTAACAAAACAAAGACACTAGAAAAATAAGCTTAGGCTAAATATAATTAGCTTATAAGAGAGATTTCCCCAAAGGATGATATCTGCATTATTTTGGCTTCAAAGTGATTTTTGAATTTTTCATCAAATTGCAGATGCTTTAATTGGATGCATTCTGTCATGTTGACATTTGTTTTTATAAAGGGTAATTTACTGTAAAATTTGTTTCTGTGTGACACTTTTAAAAAGTGTTTATTTCAATGGAACTGTTAATTCGTATCAAGTCCATTTTAATCTAGTCAAATTAATCAGTTTAATTGCAATCAAATTTTCCAATTACATGAATGCAATGACAACTGACAAAATAATATCCTATCCATTAAATTAATGCAAGGAAGCAAGGCTTTTATTTGATTATTCATCAACTGATGTCATGACAATGTGTAACTTGAAATGAAAAAAGTTATGTCATCAAAAAGGCACATTCAAAGAGTAAAAAATTTAGTTTGTCTTTCAATGGATCCTAATCTAATATTTAAAAAAAAGTCAAAAGAACAGCTGAGGTTACACTAGTTACAGCAATGCAAAGCCACAGGCACAGGGGAATCCCAAAAAGATTTATTTTACATGAAAAATATGACAAGAATGTATACAATATAGACCTGATTAGCAGCTTGTAAAGACTGATATGCAATTTTGGATTATTTAATCCTAACATACCTTCCCTTGGCTGTAAGGGTAATCAAAACAATACCCAATTAATAAAGTATTTGGTGACTAATTGTCCTAATTCATTAATTGATAGGCACGACTTGCAAGTGCAAATGTTTACTTTATGGCGGAAGTCACGTGACCAAATTCATAATCTCATCAATGAGAAAAATGAGGACGATATTTGTAAGTTTTGTAAATGTAAGGTTTTAATCTGAGGTGAAATGTTCAGACTGAACTTTCTGCTCATGAAACAATACTTTCAGACTATTTTTTCATCCATTTGCGACAACCATAAATGAAATTTTTCTACTTCCAAAAATGGAAGTAAATAATTCACGAATTTTGATTGGCTGTTGATGACCTGGGATTCCCTTATTGCCCGGATGTTGGAGTAGCCATTTTCCTCGAACCGTGTGACAAGATAATCAACTTTACTCGCTTTCCAGATCAACACGCAGATTAATAGGCAATCACGATGGTAAGAATACGTGTAACATTGTTGTCGTAATAGGAAAATTTCAAAACTTTTATGTCTATATGAAGTTGAGGCTCATCGGCGTCAAAAAAGTGTCCAGTTTGGATTGTTTTGAAACCGGAAGACAGGGTTATTGAATGGCCAAATGGGTGGGTGTGTCTCTTGCTACACCTCTGTCAACAAAATATGTCATCTGTGTAGTACGCCGAATAATACATTTACTCATACATACATCTACTGTTATCTTATATTGCAATCAATACTAAGAAAATGTCATGCAAACATATATAGCTGTTGTGTAGTTTGTTGTTTGGGTCTACTTGAAGAAATGATGTTATATGAAAATGATTCATCATTATGGAATTGCCTATTGGCCGAAGTTTAAATTTATGTTTTGTTATTCTGAGAAATTTATTTTGAAGTTGCATTTACTGATTTGCAAGTCTTTTGTACCTTGTATCAATGAGCCAGAGGCAAAGTATGTTAAACTCAAGACCCATTAATGATAAATTTATCATATAAAGTAGGCATTGGGTTATGCATTTTATGCATGTATTTGGAATATTCACATATTGCATTCAGCAATTTGTCTAGGGGTTGGAAAGGGGGGGGGGGGGGCAAATGTTCAAGTGATAGTTGTCCATAGGTGATGAAGTGTTTCTCTGTAAATACATGCCTACATACATGTAGTTAGACTGACAGAGACCGCTTGTTAAAAATTAAAAAGAGGGTTTAGTTATATTAATTCTGATTTACTTAAGATTTTTACTACACCAGTACATCTGAATGGAACCAATGTCATTGACACATTCTTGGACAAGTTAATCCTTATGGAAACATGATGGTTTGCAAATAAGCTGATTACACTCTACAAAATTCAGAGGGTAAACTTAGGTTGTATGCATATCAAATAAATCTATATGCATAGAAACTTCTAACTAGCTTCATAGAATTGGTATTAAACTTGAATGCAACTATTGATGTTTATTTTCTTAAAGAAACAAAAATAATCAATTTAAGAAAAGTTACCATGTTTTCGTTACTGGTATCACTTATCATCAATCATTACAAACTTTGAATGTATCCTTAACAACTTTGCATTCCAAAGCCAGTCATAGTTTTGTCACCTGAAATAGGAATCTTTGCTCTGAACATAGACATTTCTTGCATACTTAGGGCATTTAAAAAAACACTACCCTGTACATTAAATTGATCCTCCAAGGCCAAAAGATTTGAATTCTAAGCTTATATAATAAATATATTTCCTGACTAGTGTTAAATTTTTTTTTTTTATATTTCAATTTTTAATTAAAATAACATAAGCTTATATAAATTGAATAATGTTTTTAATCTTCAAAGTCTTGTTGTCTGCGTATTGTTGAAATATTCCTGAAATATTTGTATGTGTTCTTCTCAACTTTTAAGTAAAGGTTTTTTGTGTGTTTTGTTTCAGACGGAGAGACAATTAGATTGTGCACTTGATTTAATGCGCAGATTACCCCCTCAACAAATAGAGAAAAACCTTAGTGACCTCATTGATTTGGTAGGTTAATTTCATATAGAGTTATTTGTTTCAATCGTAAAATCTGGTCCAGACACAATACTGGTACGGTACATACTACTTTCTCTTCATAATTGAAAATTTTCTGTCTCAGACCCTAAGTTATTGTTTTGAGTTCACATGTCAATAAATACAAAAAATATTAAAGGGATTGTTATTGTTTAAACTTTTTATGTGTGTTGGGGCCATGTAAGGCTTCTGTTTGCATCATTCCAATTTTTCTGTCAGATATTTGATCTGTGGTTGCTGTAGTTATAGAAATGCTTTACTGAAAATGATGTCATTGTCCCAAAAGCTGCCAATAGACCCATAGACGTTTGAAAGTTGTGTATCTGCAATACACATAAAACGTTTAGAAATTCTCTTTACAATCTCTTAAAGCGTCAACATTATGGTTGGAGAGAAGTGATTATTTTGAAACATAACTTGATATTGATTTTAAATTGTGTGTTTCACTCACTGTCGAGATAATTGATTTCTGATTTTAAAACAATGCAAAATGAAAGAGCTTGTAATTTTTGTGTTTTATGGCTTGCAATTTTTAAATTGGTTTGATTTACACAAAAAATCTTTCAAAGTGAGCAAAGATAATTTACACATTGTCCTTTCTACATTAGGTACCAGCATTATGTGAAGATTTATTATCCAGTGTTGACCAGCCGTTAAAAATAGCCCGTGATAAAACTGTAGGAAAAGATTATTTATTATGTGATTATAATAGAGATGGTGATTCATACAGGTATGTATAATTTTATTTACACCTATTTCGGGTTGTCTGGAAGAAAACACACAGGATTATTCATTAAGTATCAAAGCTAAGACCATAATATTTAAGATTCTCAATTATAGAGAAATCAGTCTGAAACCTTTTACTAAATGCTATAATTATGAAGTCAACATATTATGGTCTTGGATTCAATTCCATGTGAATAATTCTGAAATAAAAAAGTATTATTGTTTTTCTTCTGGACCATCTTATATATCTTTCTATTTTGCTAGTTTGACTAAAGGATTTTGTCAAATAGTGTTTACTTTCTATTTAAACAAGTCAATACACACAAGAAAATGATTTTCTCTGCTGTGTACAAGAACAAAGAATAGACTCAATTCAATAAGGAAAATAATCTACCATTTCCTCCCTTCCAAAATATAAATATTATATTTCAATATTTAATTAATTCTAATAACTTCCTGTTTAGTATATCACTCAAGTTATTTATATTAACAGATTTAATTACTTGATATATTAGATAAGAATTAATTATTGTAAAAATTATAACACGTTTTCTAAATGACAATAAATAGGTTTTTTGTTTTTGAAGATAAGATTTTATATTGAAGAAAAATAAAATTGTAATTGGTGATATAGTATCCTCTAGGGTCATTTGAAACAAATTTTCAAATGTATTTTGTTTTTATTTGATAGATTAAATCAAACATGGATAAGTTTCTTGACATAGCTGTTTTTAAAAAGTACAGAATTGTTGAGGTTTGGGAATAATTTATCTGAGTTATACTAATTTTTCAGATCCCCATGGAGTAATAGTTATGATCCACCTCTAGAAGATGGGGCAATGCCCTCAGATAGACTTCGCAATTTAGAAGTAGAAGCTAATAATGCCTTTGACCAGTATAGAGAAATGTAAGTATCAGAGGACCTGTGGAATGTTCTATCTATTGTATGGACAAGAAATTATATAAATAAAAGGGTTAAAATTGTGTTAAGAAAACTTGCAATGTGTATAATTCATATAATTTTATATATAATTTCATCTGTTGTATCAAATAAGGCCAGTTGAACTATATATATTTGTTTGCAGGTATTTTGAAGGAGGTGTATCATCAGTTTATTTATGGGATTTAGATCATGGGTTTGCTGGGGTCATTTTAATTAAAAAAGCTGGAGATGGCTCTAAGAAAATTAAAGGTTGTTGGGACTCAATTCATGTTATTGAAGTACAGGTATGTTTCTATGACCTTCTTATATATGATCCATTGTTCACTTGTTTGAAATAAATATTTTGCTGTAAATGAATATATATCTAATAATATTTTGAATAGCAGTCATAGTAAAAGCCACAGCTGTAAATTGTGAAACACCAACTACTTTTAGATCAATGTATGATTTTATTGTACCTGGACAATCTTGTTGAAATGTTATTTAGTAGATTTGAAGAAATATTTTCACAGTTTTGGAATTAAACATATATATAGCACTTAAATTTTTATTTTATTATTTTTAATTGACTTAGGAAAAATCTAGTGGTAAAAGTGCCCATTATAAATTAACATCAACTATTATGTTATGGTTACAAACTAATAAAGAAGGTAGTGGTACCATGAATCTAGGTGGCTCTTTAACTAGACAGGTATGGTGTTATTTACTGCTGTATTTTTCTTGTTAGTTGACACAATATGGATCAGTTATCAAATAGACAACTGGTTACATTTATAGTGAAGAATGAATTATTTTTTAGTGAATTGACATAATATTTGATATACTATTATTACAGGTAGAATCTGATGCTTCAGTTAGTGAAGCTTCACCCCATATAGTTAATATAGGTAAAATGGTAGAGGTACGTTATTTTTCTTGATATTTGTACTTTTTATGATTAGTGCAATGGTTAGTATGGCATTGATATAATCATCATGGCATTGTCACTCATCTTCAGCCATGAAAGTAGAAGCTATGTATCCTTGGTTTAAACTCTGCACTTCTGAAAGTTTAACACAATCTTGCTTCCTTTTCCTTTTCATTCACAAAGTAAGGAATCATTGGTGCAATTCTTACAGTTAAATGGAGAGGGTCAAATTTTTTTTCAAATTTTCTGATAAATTGTTTTGGCTGCTGACCCATGTTGTGTTTATAAATAAGTGTCAAACACGCCATGTAATTAATTGTCATATTAATAAAGATAGTGATATTTCATTAGCATTTATCCTTTTTCATCAGATTTTTTTTTTATTTGCAGGAAATGGAGAATAAAAACCGCACTGTATTGAATGAAATTTATTTTGGAAAAACAAAAGACATTGTGAATAGTTTACGTTCATTTAATACACTAGAAGAGAAGAAAAAGGGGGCAGCTTTACAGAAAGATTTAGTTGCAGCCCTAGCAAAAAGATCCCAAGCCCAGTGACACTACAATATTTTTAAAGATAAGATGTATTATATTCCAATTATTTTTCAATTATTTGTCTAGCCTGCTGGTTTGAACTGTCTAATGGCTTCACGAGATTTCTACGCATCAGGATCAAAATATAAAGTAATTGTGTGTGGATAAAGAATTATTATTTGAAGTTATTAGAACCAGAAAGGTAGTTATAGATCAATATCAGTGCTATATAGAGGTACTTTCATTCCATAGCGTTAGTTACTCAATCTTAAGTTTTTTTAAACAGTAAATGAGAATGTAAAGTGTGACTGGATGTTCAGTACATTCTTTTCGGAACTGGTTAAAAGAATTCAAGCTGATGATATGTTGAAATGGAAGCACCTTTATAAAATTATTTTTGCAATTCATCTTAAAATATAAATAGTATTCATGTACCGTACCAAATGCAACCAACATGTGAACAATTATATCGTATACGAGACTTGATATCTTTAGGGTCCACTACTTATTTATAATCATTATTACACTTCTTCAATCTATTCCAAATCAGCAGAGAGTAACCAAAGCATTCTATGAAAAAATTCATTTCGAGCACAGTAGCACATAAATAACGTGTAATTTCAACAATGGTCTTTATTAATCAATTGTAAAAAAGTCATTTAATATGTACATATTTGCCTTCAGAGCAATGTTTTCTATTTTTCTGCTTAGCGCTGTTGGTATATTATATTATTTTTCGTAAAAGGCCTGGTGCTTTTGTTAAAATTGTAAAGCCGTTTACACCATGAAAAACCATGAGACCAATCACAATGATGATAAAAAACCTACTAGAATGGATTTATTTATCTGGCTTTGTGTTACTTTTTATCATTAATAGATGAAAATAAAGATACAATGTTCTTGAATGATGGTTTCAAAGTAAATCATGTGCATCTAAATAGACTTTGAATAGTATTTCTTCTGCTTTGGATGAAGTCTGCTTTTAGATTTGGCTTCTATTTATTTAGTTTCTATGTAGAGAATGTTAGATATTAAAACACACAGTATTTTATTATGGTTATGTACAAAATATCATGAGTCTTTATTTGTGTTCAAATTTGTTATGAGGGTGGTGATATTCTGAGCCCAATTTTTCAAAAAATATTAGGATCAGTTTTGTCGTAAGTATGGTATTTCAATATGTAAAATTCCACAGATACGACAAATTCATATAAGATTTTTGACTCATTGTTAACTCTTAATTGTCTAAACCGGACGATTTAAGCAGAGGTTAGGCAGACATTTAAGCTCTTTTGTATGATGTCTACACACCTTTCATTGGTCATTGTATTTGAGTAGGGAGAGCTTATTTTCCCTTCAACTTGTGTTAAAGATTAAGAGTCTGGCTGTTTCAGATTATTCAAATGTAAAAGTGTCATAAGAATTGGGAATGTATTAACATAGTGATGTATGTTTTGTTGATTACTGACTCTAAAGAGTAGGAGAAGATCATAGATTTATATATAAATCATATCTGGTTCATGTTTCAAATTAGGTCAATCCCTGTCAAATTATTTTGGTTCAGTTTTTCCCCAGATTGTGGATTATGAACAACTTTTTGTTTATTCTAATAATGAGCTATATTTATGAAATTACTGCTTTGTTAGGATATGAATGTTATGTTAAAGATTGTGTAGTTATACTTGTCCTGCTCAAAACAAACAATATCCTTTGTAAATAACCTTTCATATCACTTCTGTTGTAGTTAGAACAATAACAGTTATCATATATAAAATCAATATTTGTAATGAATCATAAAAGGAGCTTAAAATTGTTTATTACTTATTTTTAAATCACAATTGCCAGTAATGAAATAATACTAAAGTATATAGTTCACTTGAAATTGTGCTTTAACATTTTGCAATAAGATATTTGCAGTAGTGGATTTGATAGGTATATACAAAATTTGTTACGATGATTCAAACTGTTACAAAGTAACTTATTTAGGAATGGCAATTCCAAGGTTTATATTTTAACCCAACCAAAGATTTGATATTGACGATGATTAAACTCACATACCATGCCATGGTAGAGCTATGTCCCTTTTCTCCTGTGATGTCAATGTCAAGGGATTAATGACAAACCTGATTTTGAGATAGAGAAGTAAATTTAATTATGAGTGTAACTATCAATGGAAGTAAAATGATCATGTAGTATGATATTAAATAATAAAGATAATGTAATTATTAAGATAACCATTAATAAAACCTGTATATTACTGTATATGATTATCAGATTAAGTTTTATTTCAATATATTATGCTAATCATTATTGTTTTTCTTTTAATTTCATGGAATTCAATCCTACCTATTCATGGCACTGTTTAGAATAAAATCCATCTACAAAAGCATTGAACACATATCAGCGGAAATGATGACAATCAAATTCCCTGGCCTGTTTAATTGATCCATCCACACAAAAAATGAAGTGAAATAGAAAGTCTGCTGCTTATTGGACTATTAATCATTATGTGCACAGTCTGTAACACACAACACACTGATTTTTTTCTTGACAGCCCCTCATAATGCTTCTTTTTAGCTCTCATTATACGCCCACACATAAGATGAATAACAGAGATCCCAGAAAACCACTGTCTAAAGAGGTTGCCAACTTGGCATCATTACTGTGTTCTATAAAGCTAATATTGCTCACTTTGTATATTTATTATGGCCAATATGAAAGCAAGAAAATGAAAAGTGTAAAAGTCAAGAGGAATATGTGTAATATTAAGTGAGCTAAATGATAAAGCAGGTAATAGATGCGGCTTTATCAGTAAACATATGTTTTTAAAGTATGACAACATCAATAATTTATCTTGTAACACACAGTTTCCTGCTGAGACATTTAGTGTGGTCTGTATCAATACTATATTTTTATCATTTATCTCTCATTTATTTTTCTTGAATTGCCTTAACTATGAGATCATATTCTGTCTAGTCCTGGCCACGTATCCTCGAAACGATCTTAGTGCTATGGTATCCTAGAATCAATGTTAGAAGATAAGAACCTAGGATATCGTAGCGCTAAGATCGTTTCAAAAATACGTGGCCTGATTACTAACACTTCAAACAAATTTTTTCATTAATATCTAGAAGATGGGCATATCATCTTAAAACACTTTTGAAAGCAATTTCAGATATAAAATATAGAAAACCTTCTCTCTTTTCTCTTAAATCTATACAATGAAATAAATTTGTTTTCTAAACATGGAATATACCACAAAAATGCCTCTTGTCAATAAATACGAATACTGGCAACGAGGACACTGCCATACAATGGACACCCTTCAATCAAGCTTAAAAAAAAGTCCCGGAATTATGAAGGCATACAGAGTAGAAAGCAAAGTTAGGCTTTGACTTTAATCTGAAAATTCTTGTGGTTAGGTACGGAGCCCCTAAGGCGCAATTGTAATCATATTTATTTATTATTTCCTTTAAACGAAATAATATTTCCTTTAAACGAAATATGTGATATTATTTCGTTTAAACGAAATAATTATTTCGTTTTAACGAAATAACTTTTTCGTTTACACGAAATGATAATAAAAAGTGTTGAAAATTGCGCTTAAGGGGCTCCGTAGTTAAGTAAGAATATGTAATAGATATATTATGTACATTACAACAGTCAAGTTCTAGTATGGTATTATTTTAGCTGGTTTATATGTTTATTGGTTAAAACTTTATACTTCCTTTTACAAATATAATTTTTCTACTCAATATATTTCAGTAACTTATATCTTGACACTTACAAACTGATAGCTTTCCTTTATAGGTGCTATATAGCCTTAATGCACTTTCATTTTCAATTTTATATGCATGGTTTTGGTAGATTAGCAATTATTTCAAAAGGCATATAAACCTTATCCGAATCATAGGTTGTGTGACAACACAACATTAACAATTGTTATTGCAAGGGTAGTGATGTCACAAATACAGTGCTTCAAAGGGATTTCTAAATATAAGAATTGAGTCTAATGCTCTGTATGGTGACATAACCAAGAAATCCCGATGTAACATGTTTACTTAAGCCTCCATAATACTCAAACCCCATTACTCAGAACTTCAGAACAAATTTCCCCATGTATACACAAAATGTTTGATTGAAGCTTACAAAAGAAATCAAAATCTTAGCAATTTTCTCTTTCACGGTAGACTTGAACCATTGAAAAATGCCCATTTATCCTAGGAGCAGATATTTCATATAAATGTATCATGTTATATCAATAGATTAATCGATTTCAGGACTGGTGCCATTGCTATATACAGTATATTATATGCCAGAGTATTTGTAAGTTTGTGTGTGTGACTTTTCAACTAAAATCATACCAATTTTGACATAATTAATAAGCTTATCTATAGCTCTGTGACCTAGGCCAGTGCTTTCATTGAGACTCGTCTCAATACATCCTAGAACTATTTACAATGGCGTTGCCAGCCTCCCGAGATTGGGGCGGGAATAGGGGGCAGAATGAAGAAAAGATTCAAAATGGGGTAGCTCCATAGACACAACCCTTCCACAGAGCGTCTGGGAAGGTTGTCCCCCATGAAAATTTGTGAAAAACATAATTTATTTGGTTCATTCGGACACATATTTTAGGGAAAAAACATAAAAATCATATTTAAATTTGCTGGAAATGAAAGGGGGGTACAATTGAGGATACAAACCGTTTTTCTAGGGGTTCAAATACCCCCTCTATACCCACACTGGCGGCACCACAGACTAACATGCCTTCAATGTCTGAAGAACTTGATAGAGTTTATGATGTATTATGAGACTGTTGAACCACACCTATAGACAAATCAGTAAAACCAGACTATATACACATGATGTAAGAATATACAAAATATTGAAATGTCAAAGTTGATTCCTCAGAGATAATAATTACATTGGTACATTCCGAAATAGATACTGATACAGTTATCTCTCCTAAAAATAATAGTCATTTTACCTGAAAGCTAGCATTCTTAATTTTATTTCCAATCTCTTTACTTACTTTTGTCAGCAAATTAAATTATCATTATTTAGAGATGTTCATTTTCAAAATTATGGTAGAGGTGGCTTACATAAAAGCACTGGCCTCACAAAAATAATATAAATTTACATATAATCGCAGTGTTTGAAAGTTAAAAAACGAAGTATCTTTTATTTATACAATGCTATATATAGAAAAGACTTATAGAAATAGAAAATGAAATTTCTGCTATGTCAAAGGCAAATTTGAAGAGATTTCCGTGCAGTTCTTGTATTTATGAAGATTATTTACTAACATATATTCAAGACCAAAATCAACCCCCAAAATGGTGGACCATGGTGTTTCAATAAAATCATGTTTTAATGATGAAATTACTTATAGTGGTGGTATGGGAATATAAGTCACATTTCTATGTGTGCTACTGTCTGACTACATTAAAATCTGAATTGAATTTTTTCTCTCATTTCTACCATTTGTCTTAGAATGCCTTCGGGTTTATAGAAATATTTGGTTTAGTGATTTTACATATAATATAGACACAATTCCCTCCCAGACAATTCACACTTTTCAAACTGAAAATTCTCCTCTGTAAAATCATTTTTACAATTGATATTTTTTTCAGTGTTTAACATTTTCATCAACCCAAAGGCAATCTAATACTCTCACTAGTGATGATGTGCATAGAAATACATACTATGGCTACATATCGTTTTGAAATTTATTTGAATAGAGAATAGAGGGCACTTGAAGTTGATATTCCATATCTACCACATAAAACTACATGTTTTTATACGCCAACATGGAAATGTGGACGTATATTGCCGTTGCACCTGTCCGTCGGTCGGTCTGGCCGTCCGTTCACATTTCTTGTGGGCGCGATAGAGGCTACAGTTTTTATGTGATCTTGAAACTTGGTATGCGTGTATATATTGATGAGATCTCGAACAAGTTCGAAATTGGTAATAATCGGAAGAACGGTTTCAGAGTTATTGCCCTTGACTTAGTAAAGATAGCTTGCCAGGCAAGGTAATATACGCCCACTGATAGCTTTGTTTGAAATTGAATATTTGTTAGAAAATAGCAAACATAGACACCAGGAAATATTCAACTTATACCCAAATCCATCACAAACTGTGCCATCACAAGTTAAAAATCAAACACATTTGTAAGAATAACGGCAATAACTTGTATTTTATATTTCAAAAGGTTTAGTTTTGATTGTGATCAATTTCATCAAGTTGTCAAATTTGTTTTAGACTTCTGCTTTGTAGAATAAAAATTACGTGTTTTACAAGATTTTTGATCAGATTTATCCTTGGGTGATTTCAATAAGTCTGTCATGAATTGTGTCTTTGCAGATTATATTCAAGCAAATTAGGTTGAAATATTCTGTCAAGAATTGTGCCCCCTAGAGTGTTTACGAGCTAAAAATTGAACGCGTTTTCAAGAACAAGGGAAATAATTCATACTACATATTTTTCGATTTCCCTGATTTTTCTATAGGGTTTATCCTTGGGTGATAACGAACACTCATACCAAGGTTCGTCAAAATCTGTCAAGAATTGTGCCTTCTAGAGTGTTTACGAGCTAAAAATTGAACACGTTTGCAAGAACAAGGGCAATAATTCATACTAAATATTTTTTCGATTTCGCTGATTTTCAATAGGGTTTATAATTGGGTAATTACGAACACTCATACCAAGTTTCGTTAAAATCCTGCAAGAATTATGCCTTCTAGAGTGTTTACGAGCTAAAAATTGAACGCGTTTGCAAGAACAAGGGCAATAATTCATACTAAATATTTTTCGATTTCGCTGATTTTCAATAGGGTTTATCCTTGGGTGATTACAAACACTCATACCAAGTTTCGTCAAAATCTGTCAAGAATTGTGCCTTCTAGAGTGTTTACGAGCTAAAAATTAACAAGGGCAATAATTCATGCTAAATATTTTTTCGATTTCGCTGATTTTCAACATGTGGGCGTATAAAAATGCGTGAAATTTGCCTTGTAGGCATTATAAGGACTACAGTTTTTATTCGATCATGATGAAACTTGGTATGCATCTATATATTGATGAGATCTCGGTCAAGTTCGGAATTGGTAATAATCGAGTGAATGGTTTCAGAGTCATTGCCCTTGACTTGATTTTGTAAAATTTGGCTTGTAGAAAATGGTAATATTCGGATGATGATCAGTTTCAGAGTTATTGCCCTTGTGTGTACAGCGATGAGATATTGTTCATGTTTGAATTTGATGATAACTTGATGAACTGTTTCAGGTTTTTGTCTTGACTTATAG